AAATACCGCACAACTCCTCATATAACAACAGATGTTGCACCATGTGAATTGCTATGTGGTAGGAAAATTAAAACTCATCTTGACCTACTACATCCAACTGTTCAAAGGTCTGTTTCCCAACATCAACATACACAAAAAGTAAATCATGACAAACATTCATTGAAAGAGAATTTGGTGTTAATGAGAATGTGTATCTAAGAAACTATGGGAGAAGGGAAAAATGGATACCAGGTCAAATTGTTCAATGTACAGGACCTGTGTCTTATAAAGTAAAAACAAATGATGGACTTATTGTCCGTAGACATGCAGACCAGTTAAAAATAACTTGTGCAGATAATAAGTGTGAATCTGCCAATCCCACCAAATCTGAACAGTTCACACCAACTCAGTTTGTTCCACAACCAAGTTCTGTTGATATGAGTGAACCAAGTTGTCTGGAGTCAGAAAATGTAAATTCTGGAGTTAATGATTTAAATCCTAGACCTCCTGAGATAGAGAATCCAGATGGTCAGAATCTTGAGTCACCAAATCAAAAGCCACTGAGAAGGTCAAGCAGGACAATCAAAGTCCCAAATAAGTTAGACCTATGATTTTAAAGGTCAAAAGGACTTTGACATCATTGTTTCGTATCTTGATTATGTTGTGGCATATTGTGCATTGTTTGTAAGGATGTAATCTACCATAGTGTTCATGTTACAATATAATTGGTGATTTTAGGATACTATCAATTGTTCTATTGAGAGATGTGTTATTGTGTTCTAAGGGTAAAGGGATGTAATAGATTGAGATAATTGTGAGGTCAAGGGAACTCACTCTTCTGTATTAGTATTATATTTATATTGTTATCTTGAGTGATGTCCCTTGTATATGGTACTTCCTCTTCCTCTTCCTTCATGGCTGTAAATAAAGACTGTTAACAACCAATGTGGCTCCTCGTCAGTGTTTGCCAATCTATCTCATATACATTTTTAAATACTAAGAACAAAACATGTTTATAACAAATATAAAAATTACAAATATATCAAAGATTTACTAAGTTTTGAGAGCCCTACCGACCAGTCACCTCCTAGATCCGCCTATGACTAGGGGCAGGCTGGTCGGGCACAAGCAGTTTGTGAGCACCACATTGTCTTTAAGGCTATAACAGATTTAAAATATAGTCTCAGTGGTGTTGGTCACCGAGACCTCGCTCAAACCAGAGGCGTAGAGACGGGGGGTTACATATGTCACCGGGCGCCGACCCCAGGGGCGCCAAAATAAGCTCATTTTAGCTGCTATTTTGAATTATAAATATAAAAATATATGGGGGATGGGCGACAAAATGAAAGTTTGTCCCCGGGTTCCGGGAGGGGTCGCTACGCCTCTGGCTCAAACTGAACCTACCCCTGCAGCAGGGACCCTGGACCTCAGTCCACCTCACCCACGCTTTGCACAAATGACGTCACGCAATTTAAGACGATTTCACCCTGAATCCTATCGTCACAAGTCGTCTCAAATTATTACCCACTCATCTTAAATAACGTCACAATAACACCCCTAGTAACAATAACTATGCTTTTCTTTTTTTTCCTATAATGTACAAAAAATAGGTTATGTCACTTTTACGTGAAGCACATCCTCACAAGACCCCTTCACCGACCAGTGGATCCCTAATAGTATGACGTCATGTAAAGACGACTTCCCCACTCATGTGTCCCCCATTGTTACAAAAGTGTTAAGGACTTCTCACGTGCAGCAAAAGTGTCAAGGACTTCTCACATGCAGGTGCGGGGTGCGGTTTAGTGACGATTTCCTTTTGTTCCCTGTTTAAAGCCCTCACTTGAATAGTGTCACCTCATCTTATGGACCTTCTAACCAGGAAGCGGTGACGTCATTTTAAGTAATTATTTTTATCTTATTTGTTTGCCTAGACAAGTGGCTCCTTAACATAATCATCGCACACCTCTTGTTTACTTAGCTATTTGTACTGAACTACACCACTGCAAATATACACGGCTGTGTACCAGACAGTATTTATAGTTGATGGGGTCCTAAGATAATAGTGTGTAGTTTTTTTAAATGTTTGTTTGTTATCTTTACTTCCAAAGTACATATTCCTGTCTTTTAAAATTTACTTGGGGGTCCACAAAAGCTGGGACTTTCTAAGCTCTGGCATGTTTAGCTTATAGATCCTGATTGTAACTGATTGAGGATTGAGCTCTTTACAAGCACTTTATACAAGCATTAATATGATGTCTAACTGTCTATTATTCAAGTTATAATTTGTTACGGTCTTGTCTATTTTACCTAATTCACGCGAACATCTTTTGAGAACCACCCACTCACTCGAACTTAGAAACACAATAGACTCGACAGGATATATATATATATATATATATATATATATATATATATATATATATATATATATATATATATATATATATCTGCCTATGTGTACATATTCTCGAGGAGGTTAAACCCTCCCCCCCCCAAAGAAATTTAAAAAAAAAAAAACTTCACCTACGCCCTTTAGAAACAAGCACATGATATTTACCTATTGTTAGCAAACAATGAAAGACAACCTACTGTTGCACTTTGAAATGATCTGCTCAGTGTTTGCACAGGTCCGCGTCTCTTCCGTCTCGTTACGTTTTTTCTTCCTCATTGTTAAGTGTACATGTGTGTGCGCAGTAATTGTGTGTGTAAATGTGTGTTGCTGTACATGTGATGTAAATTCATGTTATGTTTTTAATGAGTTACGAGCGAGCTTTATGTGAATAAACGATGCCTCATAGTATCGTTAACAATAGCAGAGTTTTTTGTATATGTCTGTGTGTTTGAAAACGTTTCTGGCTTGATGTGGGGAACTGAGAGATTGTTTTCTAACTTTAATCTAAGATTAAGCCTTTTATTTGTGTGGTAAGGAAACTCTGGTTTGGTAAACATTTAATGCGGAGAACAGTAGGATTGTTTGTATGTGTATACCTGTTTTAAATCTGGTCTGTTTTGATATGGGAAGAGAGGTCATGTGATCACAACACAACTCGTAACATTAAATGTAAACATCAACCTAACGCTACAACTAATTACAACGCTAAGATAACCCTATCCCTTGATTCTAGCTGGAGTTTCTGTCCTGTGGCGGATTAAAGTTTGGGCTGGCAGGGATTACCTCAGTGGGCCCCCAAATTGTCTTTTACAAACAATAGTGAATTAATCTTTTAATCATCTTTTATTTTTTACTAGCTGATTAGTAGTATATACTGATTCAGGAATAGATTTAAATAAGTTACAGCGGTATTATGACAGTATGGCCTACGTATGCTGGAGACACACACATTGTTTTGATAAGCTTGTGCCTGATTAACTTCTAGTAAAGCAGCTGTTACCATTTAAAAGAAAGGATTACATACGAGGAATTTCAGCATGACAAGCTCACAATGTAACAAGGAATGAACAATTATATATGTGTGCCTTGAACTAGAAGGCCCCGCGGCCGGACGTGAAACAATAAGCATTAGTACTATTTACAGCTACATTTTTCTGGTCTATAAATAACACATGAACCTTGACTGGTTTGAACCGGTAACACGTGTTTTATTTCGTTCTAAAATTCAATTCTTTTTCATGTCATGTAAGAAAATAGATATTAATTGGTAATACTCCTTTACCAAATATCTTTTACTACGGCTATATCTAGCAAGTTAAATAATCAATCACATATACATTATAATCCACTGTTAAAAATACGGGCAAGGTGAACAGGTTAAAATATTTGCACAAGTAGATTTGTTACTTCCAGCAATAGGGTCAACCGTCATCTACAACTTTCCAGAGTTTTTTTAGTCATTTTATTCTAAGTTAAATTTATTTATTATTATTTATGTACTTGACATTTGGGAAGCGTTGAAATTTATCTCCATCTTAATCCTAACTTGGGACATGCAGATGATGCAGTTCATTTGCTTCAAGGACTTAAAGCCTAACCGTAAACTTAAATTGGCATGATGTAATGACATAATTTTAAAACGTATTTGAATAATGTTCAACACTAAAATCTAGCCTGGTGAACTGTAGGTTAAAATAATTAATTAAAGCACGCATAATTTGGCCTATAAAGTCATACTCAGTTACACGATAAGCTGACATAGATAACTGATGTCGAGTAGAACAGATAAATCCTGACAATTCAGATCAATGATACAAATGTGCTACGTGTTGGGTACATGTGCTGTTACATTGCCTTGTCGCTAACATATGACAAACGAAGTCACACTGATAAGAAGGAAAAAAACCCATATCGAACGTCATTTAGCCATTTATCCTTCCGAACTAGTAACACATTTTTTATAGTAGAGAGAGAAAAATTGTTTGTAAAAGTTTGGCTGCAAATTCGCCACCAACTATGCAAATAAGTTGGTACAGCTAGATCTTTATTATAGGAATCTCAAAGTAGGTCAAAAAATGCGATAAGTAATCCTAAAAACGTCTTAAGGCCCATTAAAGTAGGGGTCGCTTTTGTTCAGATGAAAGTTTATATGAAGGAAAAAAAATTGACAAGCACGGTGTCCTGCTTATTCCTCTTATTTCTGCCATGCATGATCTAATTATTGCTGCAAAGTACTAATTAGGACCGGGTGAAATCACAGGAAAGCTACAAAACAACTACCTCATTTTCGGGTGCATAAGTGGATTCTACACACCCCCCACCCCCAACACTTCATGTTATAATATAGATCTAGTTTCAAATATACCCACCCTATACTAACACCGGGAGTATGAGAAGACCCCCAAGTTTTGAGAAGAGATTTCTAGGTTCTAGAGTAATCTAGAAGCCAGTTTTAGGTTAAAAAGTCGATATTATAATAAAATTGAATAAAAAATTTCACAGATGTAAACGTTTTTAGTAGGTAGGCGTGAAATAACACACGATGATTAATTCGCCTTTTTGCGCTCCCAGCACCTGATAACGACAACTACCAATCCTGATATCGTCTGCTGGTGAAAACTGTCCCACAAGTTATTTATACATTCTGATCTAATTCTCCCACGTGATTGGCCACACAGATAAACGAAATTTCCCGTCCCTTTTAAGCCACGGTATTGAATTCGTTAGAATATACCAAAATGGAAGAGAAAAGTAAGTTTTCAGTTATTTTTAAATAATTTCCGTAAATTAAAATATTCAAATGTATAAGTAAGCTTGTTTCCTTTCATCAAAATAAAATCAAATTTACTTTTTTAGTGTAAAAAACATCTTCATTGCCAATTAGTACATGGTTTATATTGTTGAACATTGACCTATAGGCCTACAAACTGTTAACCCTTGTTTTTATACGCACAATAAGGGCGACAATTGCTATTAATTTCATAAAATAATAATATTTATATGTGGACTATAAAGGCGACTAAATCGAGAGATCACCTGTAAAGTGTAAACATCTTTAGCCGGCTCCCCAATGCTAAAATAAGGATAAGATTATAATACATTCGATTTCTTTTGTTTTTCTTTACAACAGCCGCCCCACCCCCTTCGTATGAAGCAAGCAACTCTGGGTCTGGGGGGATAGCAAACCCCAACTACGACGCGGTCTATTCTCCGCCCCTGACGGTGTCAACTGCCCCAGTTCAGCCATACTATGGCATACCGATGGGGGTAACTATACCATTTTGACATCTACATTGTTGTTTTGTCTAAATGTATCTGTTCACTGTCTTTAAATCATTATGTGTAACAAACAATGAACTAAGCGCTCAATCTTCATTGCTTTTTACAATGCAGATTTACGAATCAAGGCCCGCAATCCGGGATTTAATGGGTAGATGTTTAATTAAATTGATGTAGTAGCCCACTCGTATCAGACACAAGTCCTTACAATTATCTGGCAAATTTCAGGATCTTATAATATGAAGGATTGTATTGATGCCAAGTTTAATAATCAGTGTTTCTTCCAGACTTTTTTCTCCGGGTGGGCACTTGATATTTTCGGAGGGGGGGGGCGGTCAACATTTTCCGGTGCGGGGGGCGGACACTAGTAAAAGTATATAAATAAGTATATAAATTCCATCTCGTTCGGGGGGCGGTAGACAAAGTTTCTGGAAGAAACTCTGTTAATAATTTGTCAGAATGTTCAGATCCAGTCTATTAGGGTTCTAAAAAACAACCTTCACTGTATGTATCTATCTGATGGACGTTTCGAAACGTTCTATACTTGACTCACTTTCTGTTTGACCTAGCTGTCACCAGGTGTTGACTCTACTGCTCAATGCCATCAACGTGATAGATTTCAGGGACAGGGTAATTGATACACCACATATCACGTGACGTGTTTTCCGGGTACGAATCGGGTCAGGGGGTAGCATAAACCGTGACGTCAAATGCGAAACGAATTCACAACCCGGCGGGTCATGTTACCGACCTGTTCATGAAATGGTGTCATGTGTAAGAGAAGATTCCAGAAATTTAGTTCGTGTGGTGACAGCGAGCTTTCCATTAAAACATCTTCCTATAAAGTAACTTAAATCCCAATATATGTGTATGAGTAAATAAATAAATACACACACATTATATATATATATATATATATATATATATATATATATATATATATATATATATATATATATATATAAATATATATATATATATATATATATATATATATATATATATATATATATATATATATATATATATATATATATATATATATAGCTTTTATATATCGCGAGTCTGCCCCTGTTGATGACATATTTAATTGACGTTAGCATGAACCGTGACAATTATTAATTAATTGTATCCTAGAGCGTGTCGATGACTTATTGAAACCTAGTACCTGTGGAGGTTGTGGAAATACTGTCATGTACCACCACATGGGTACCCCATACATTAGTAGACCCACTAACACCACAGGATGACAGCTGGTGTACCTAGTGAGTGTTTTGTTACCATGAACTAAATAACAAGAGTGTAGCCGGTGTTTCAAAAATATTTTACAACTTAAAAGTTTTTTTTTTCACAAGTTTTGAGTTTGTTGCAAAGACCAGAATATCATACACAGAATTATAATAGAAATTCTTTTAGTTATTTGTAAAAGTAATTGATAGATATTTTCTTTAATGTTATTCTAGAACAAACTAATACACATATACCTATGTTTAGTTTCAACTATAGATATAGGCCTAATTATCTTATATGATTAAACCCGGCCTAATTTCCATAGATTAATATTCAGCTTCGCCCTCAGAATGTGTAGGTCAGTTTTTATAAATATACAGATCTAGTCCTTTAGGGTTCTTAAAGACAACCTTCTCTGTATGTATCTATCTGATCAGAAGTGAACATACTAAAACATTTGCAGGATTAACCCTAGTAGAATTGACCATGAGAATCCCAATAGGATTAACCCTAAGAAGAAGAACACATTTAAAAAGTGAATGTGCGCTGTTTGAGGCTAGTACAGGAATCATGAAAAACATAAACACACAGCGAATTCGACCAAAGAAACGAAACAATTTTTTAGTACTGTTGACGACGCAAGTTTCATCGACAAGGTCAAAGCTCGAAATGGAATTCGCTGCTCTATTAACATCATAAATCGCAGTAAGAAAATTACGGTGAAAATGGCTCACCTGTTACAAATTTTAAGGAAGAACATGAGCGACTACTTTAGGGTTTATGAGACGGGAACATTGAAGAGATAATCTTTTGAAAACCAGGTGAATTTTGTGTGTCTTATTCAACCAACGAGTCAACTACACATCTTGTCAGTGGGGAAGGAGGGTAATTTATTTAAAATATTTAGTAAACGCCAAATCAATATGTATATGTCTGTTCCACAAAAAACATGACCACTCCCCTGTTCCAACCAAATATTTCTGTTCCCTGAAAACCTGTCTACGCCCTACGCCCCTGTTCACACCCGAATATTTCTGTTCTACAAAAACCTGTCTACGCCCTACGCCCCTGATGACACCCAAATATTTCTGTTCTACAAAAACCTGACCACCCCCTACGCCCCTGTTCACAACCAAATATCTCTGTTCCCCAAAAACCTGACCACGCCCCTGATGACACCCAAATATTTCTGTTCTACAAAAACCTGTCTACGCCCTACGCCCCTGATGACACCCAAATATTTCTGTTCTACAAAAACCTGACCACCCCCTACGCCCCTGTTCACAACCAAATATCTCTGTTCCCCAAAAACCTGACCACGCCCCTGATGACACCCAAATATTTCTGTTCTACAAAAACCTGTCTACGCCCTACGCCCCTGATGACACCCAAATATTTCTGTTCTACAAAAACCTGACCACCCCCTACGCCCCTGTTCACAACCAAATATCTCTGTTCCCCAAAAACCTGACCACGCCCCTGATGACACCCAAATATTTCTGTTCTACAAAAACCTGTCTACGCCCTACGCCCCTGATGACACCCAAATGTTTCTGTTCTACAAAAACCTGACCAGCCCCTACGCCCCTGTTCACAACCAAATATCTCTGTTCCCCAAAAACCTGCCACGCACCTGATGACGCTCAAATATTTCTGTTCTACAAAAACCTGTCTACGCCCTACGCCCCTGATGACACCCAAATGTTTCTGTTCTACAAAAACCTGACCACCCCCTACGCCCCTGTTCACAACCAAATATCTCTGTTCCCCAAAAACCTGCCACGCACCTGATGACGCTCAAATATTTCTGTTCCCCAAAACCCTGTCTACGCCCCTGATGACACCCAAATATTTCTGTTCCCCAGAACCAGTCAGTGTACGGCAACACCGTCATCACCCAGCCGGCCATGGTTTACAACCAAGTGCAGGCGGTCCCTGACCACACCACACTGGCCGTCATGTCCGCCATTTGCTGCTGTCCTCTGATTGGACTGTTTGCAGTGATGAAGGCACTCGACGTAAGACAAATTAATGCATGCATTTACACACTAATGCACACAAGATAACATACTCAGACCAGTGGCGTAGGAAAAAGGGGGTTAAGGGGGGGGGGGGGGGGTTATAACCCCTCCCCTGGACACCCACCCTTATATATATATATATATATATATATATATATATATATATATATATATATATATATGATTGTATACATATGGAAAATATTTGAACCTCTCCCATTCAGTGTTTCTTCCAGACTTTTTTCTCCGGGGGGGGGGGGGGGGGGCACTTGAAATTTTCGGGGGGGGGGGGGAGGGGGGGGGCGGTAGACTTTCTTCGGGGGGGGGGGGGCGGACACTGTTAAAAGTATATATTTTCTATATAAAGTATATACATTTCATTTCGTTCGGGGGGGGGGGGGCGGTAAAAAAGAGATGCCTGGAAGAAACTCTGCTCCCATTGCCAATTCCTGGCTACGCCACTGACTCAGATCTTTCCTTTACACACATACTTATATATAGGCGATAGTTATATATCCCACCCCTAAACGTATATAATATAGGCCATATTATATTTTGATATAAAGGTGTATCTAACTTTTTTAATAACAACTGAAATCCACTTAAAACTATCTACAAATGTTTTTAAAGCAGAAAACAAAAACACTGTTTTAGTCTGAAAAGTGTGCCATGAGTTGCCAAATGGTAAATGTCTGTTATATTTTTTGATCTGTCTAGTCTCGTACTGCCCTGGCCAACAACGACATCCCTCTAGCCATGACGAGAGCTCAAGAAGCGAAACGACTTTCGATCATAACCATCATCTGTGGTGCGGTTGTCTGCATTGTTGCTGTGGTTGTTGTCGTTGTGGTCTTACAATCAAGCCTGTATTATTATTAATGCTAGTTGTTGTTTTAAAATAATGTAATGCAATTGAGCAGTTCATGTTTCCCTTCATATCGCATCACTTAAGAGCAGACCCTTGAATGTTTCAAATTAATTTTACTAGATTTAGATCTACAAAATGTTATTTGCTATACCACGTCAAAATAGTGTTGAAAAGCAATACTTGGTTGATCAACAAAGTAGGCTAAATGAGAGAATTTGTTGTATAAAATTTGCACAAAAGTGAGAATGGCCACAGATATCACCAATTTAGCAACGTAACAAAACTACACACGTTTACTTTTTTACTGTTAGTTTTCTAATATTGTCTAGTTGATTTTTTCATTGAAGTAATAGTAGGCCTATATATATATATATATATATATATATATATATATATATATATATATATATATATATATATATATATATATATATATATATTGTATTAGGCTTTATTATTATATGAAACTTTGTTTTTATATATAATGTATGTCTATGATTTCTGTCAGACGTAATTTTCACTCACCCAATTCATGTAATGACATCTGTCTGTGTGATCTAGATGTGCTGTGCTACACATAACATTTCTTGACAGCACTGATCGAGCGATTCAAAGCTAAGCCTTATCCTAAATCAATTACTTCTTTAATACACATTCATTCAAAACGTGGTTTTTTTTCTATTTCCTGCGGTTAACGGTTATCCACTCGCTAAACCAGTCTGATATCCACTTATGAGAAAATCTGTGCACTTCCACGGCCTTACATATTTAAACGGCAAAGAGTTTATTTTTTTAGAAAGGCGGTTTCTCTTCTGAGAATGTTTGGTGCCAAGTATATCCAGCGAAGTCTGGAGTTGAATTGCTGGAACCTGTAAGTGTGAAAGAACAGTGATAGTATGCTGTCTACGCTCAGTAGCTAGCTGACTTTAGCTCTTAAGCTAGCTGACTTTAGCTCTTAACTTGTCTTAAGCTAATTGGCTTTAGCTCTTAAGCTTGCTGACTTTAGCTCTTAAGCTAGCTGACTTTAGCTCTTGAGCTAGACGGCGTTAGCTCTTAAGCTAGCTGACTTTAGCTCTGTACCTGACCTAAGCTCTAAAGGCCACCTAACTTTTAACTGCAGCTTATTGACTAACTCTGTAGGTATCTGAGTTAAGCTCTGCGGGCAGCTGACTTAACCTCTGTCGCGAGCTGACTTTTGCTCTGAAACTAGCTGATTTATATTTGTTATACACCAATAATTTCATTGATTACGTTTTTACCAATACTTTACTGCAATCGATCAGAGAATTCAATTAAATGTTGGTGTTGTATAGTAATTCAGAATTAATCTTAATCATTATCTAAAACCAAAATGGTTTCCATTGTATTTTGAGTTGTTAATTTTTAAATTAAAGATTTATGATTACACCTATAGATCCATGTATTGATAAAGGGGAATAGAAATTTTTACACGGGGTAAAAAATTAATAAACATAATAGCACACGTGTTCTTTGTTGGTTTGCATTGATTACCTACCTGGCGTATTTTCTTACGAACACATTTTTATTTTAATTAAAAAAAGAATTTTAAGAATATTGTTGACTTTTAAATGTTTTATTATAAAAATGAATGAAAACACACATTTGCTCAGGAAATAGAACTAAATCAATAAGGTTTAAAGTAAATCAGAGCTAAACCAAGACTAAACTTCAGCAAGCCAGAGTGAAAACAAGAGAGTGATTTTTAATAATTTTTTAAAAGAGCTAAATCAAGACAGAGCTAAAGTCTAACGAGCAAAGCCTCTCCCGTGAATAAATTGTAACTTGAGAAGTTTTTGAGGTCACACCCGACTTGCACTGCAGTCTGAGATTACATCGAACTATGGTACTGTAACTTCAAGGGACACAAGGCAAGGTACACGACGCTTCCCTCCCCTGTGTACGGTGTCTGTCACGCCATCGATTGGCTGAGCTAAAAGCTTTAATTGATTCAAGAAAGGCCCATTCATTGACAAAGAGTTGATTTACACGAAGATATTGGCTGAAATTTCTGGAAAAGTCAGGCTGAGGCATTTAGTTGCGTTCGCAGGCGGGGCAGCTCTAGTGTGATTAACTTATTCAGATGTTGATTAACTAAAGCAGATTGTTGTGTGATTGTCTAACACGCAGGCTACTGTTGTATGATTGTCTAACACGCAGGCTACAGTTGTATGATTGACTTATACAAACTGTTGTGTGATTGTCTAACACGCAGGCTACTGCTGTATGATTGACTTATACAAACTGGTGTATGATTAATTGACGCTGATTGTTTCATTGCGTGCTCGTTGTAAATTAAATACCTAAAAGAATAGATAAAATTGTCTCAAGGACTACATTTGGGTAGGCCTACACTAGTCCTACAGGTACCCGTACAATGTTGAGAAAATATATAATATATATTGAACAGTACACTGGCTATATAAACCTTCATATATAGCTCCTATGTGACAGTATCAACATTTTTTTCCTCATTTTTGTATGAGGAAATCTTGAAAATAAATGTACTTGTTTACACAAAAATTGTTTACTTAGCTATGGTAATAGCGATTGTGAAACTGGCACTAGCCGCCTGCACACAAGTTTATAGAAACATAGAATTCAATAGTGATTCAGGACACGAACCCACCCTTAGCACTGACTCACCTTGCCAATCACAAACAGCTGGTATCGACCAAGCTATGCGCTCACTCTCAACAAATATCGAGTCTCTCGGCTCTAGTTTTCTACCGGCGATTATTTCCCTTGACGCCATTTTGTACCACTGCTGGAGTTTTTTTTTAATTTAGTGATTATTTCCCTTGACGTGAATTTTGTCACCTTGCTGTTCATTGATTATTTCCCCTGACGCCATTTTTTGTCCCATTGATGGAGTTTTCTTATTTGTTCTTTATTGTGATCTAGAAAGGGATTCTCTGCTAGATGAGTTGCTGTTATAGAAAACGAGCCTCATTTGATCGTGGTCCGAACTCTGGACCCTCGGAGATAACAATCCTACACTCTTCTGCCGTTTCCTCGAGTTTCCTATTTCGTGATTATTTCCCCTTCCATTTTTTGTTTTTCTATCCAGTACGTACAGGTAGGTTATATTCGCAACCCGAGACCACCCCCCCCCCCTTTTTTTTTTCTTATCGACCACATGAAGCTACAATCCCACTTAGACAAAAAATGTTTTGGTCATGTGACCTTTATGTCTATACTTGTTATCTACATTCCTTTAACTGTAGGCCTACATATTCTAACGGCCTACTCATATGACTTCTTAAAACTGTTTTTACCTGACCTTCTACTGGCTTCACACTTTTGGTTTTACTCGGACCCTGAGACCAGGGATGGTGCACATATTACACAACACAATAACAGGACGTAATGACCCGCCCCTACTCAACATAAGATTCTAGAGATGTATAGCTTTTATTTAATGCCATCGCCATATTTCAAAACATATTTAATCGGTTTGTTTTAAATTATAGGAATCACGTCATTTTAAGAGAAATACCCTAGCTGAAACCCCACTATAAACAATATCAATGACCTATTATGATCATAATAAATAATAAGCTAGGCCTTAACTTTCTAAATAATCAAATTTGTGGGAAATAAAAAATATATTACACCTCAATACCGCTCCTATACAATAATACAACACAGTGATAAAACTCCAATATAATCGATCTCATGTAACAAAACTATACCCCCCCCCCCAATCGTGTAATGTCATATGTACATAATCCCTCTCAATTGTTCGAGTATTTCCTTATCTCCAATAACAATCAGCAGTTGCTTTAGCTTGCATAGTGATGCATTTATAGTAGTTATATTTTTATTCTCATTGTCACAGCATTAATCAAAAGAAAACATAAACGACTGAAGCAAAATTTCACGAGTTTTTTTTTAAAAACAATTTTTTTAGTTTGTTTAAAAAAGGGGTTCATAGATTGGAAAGGTAGATAATTGACCGGTTGATGTGGGTTGTTCTATAGAATGAGATTGGTCTCCCCTGCGTAATTCTTCTTAAATTCATCTGGCATAAAAGTAAAGACTAACAAATAGATCTATCATTTAGTTTGTTGGAAAATATAACACACAGTCAATTATACTTTTTAAAAACATTTTAATTTAAAAAAATAAGTAGTGTTGCAGTAAAGATAGACTAAAATAAATCCCATGTATTGGGCTGTCAAGTTTCCCAACTTTTTGAAATCTATACATTTTGGTTTGTTTTGTAGAATTTTTGTTGTTGTTGCTGTGACTAACACACAATAATTAACATAAATTGTTTTGTCACAAACACAATGACCAACATAGACAAAAAAAGTTTGGACTAGCACACAAAAAATGCACTTGTATTTTATAAACAACTTAAAAATCTGTCTCTCTTATCCAGGGGGCAGCACTAATTTTTGACTCTACTTCAGGGCTAATTTTTAATTGAATAATAAATTTGACTCCTCTGCTGAAAGATAATGGAAGATCATCTTGTAAAAAAAAACCACAATTTATAAAATTAAGTTTTAACTTTTTAATTTTCTGCCGCGCTTAATCCAGCAGATTGTAAATAACTAAAAAACTAAATAAAATCATCCATGAATAAGATATGCCTACTGCTGTTGTACCTGTAAAAATGGAAATATGAATCAGAATAGTTTATCAGAGTATAATAGAATTAATAACTATTATTAAAAAAAAAATTGTGTTGTATGATTATTGTTGTATAATGCACTAAAAAACAGAATTTTACAAAAAGTAATGTAAATTGAAACAAAATTAAAATCTTACCTAAACATGTAAGGTATCCAATAGTGAGTTCTGAAAGCAAAAGGGTTAATAAAAGATATAAGAATTGTTTTCTAATAGAGTTATATTCACAAGCGATCAACTTTGCTATACTTTGGTGTAGAGAAAAAAAACTGCAGGATTTTTCATGCTTAGTATATAAAATGCTAGAAAGTTAACAAGACATTTTATTTTTAAGGGAAAGTAAAGTTGGAACAGACCTTTTTTTGTTTTTAAATAACTTATTGGGTTTTATATACAGTTTTGTGAATGCATATAGTACACTGTACAAAGCATGGCTGTGTATACGTTTCCTATCACTTTATCCTTACCTTGACCACATGTGGTGCTGTGTTGGATTCTCAAGTTTTCCAAAATGTTTTTAAAGTCCGAGTTGTTGGCCAAGCCACACTCACACAGAGCGTCCTCCAGACAGATGATGCTATATTTAGAACCCCTGGAAAAATTATGTTGACTGTAATGGAGGTCATTTTGAAGTTGTCAATCACAATTAAAACAATTACTTAAAAAAATGAAACTCACTCGCAGCTAATTGTTAGTTTTTCTGGTTGAGCTGAAGTCTGATACACAATGGCTGAGTAATGTTTAGTTAGGTTTAAACATTTTTCATACTTTGTGCATTTTGTGTTTACCAAGCCTGCATATTGCTGTAGACTCACTGGAATAATACACCACAACATTGTCATTGAGTTGTAGAGAACACAAAAACATGTTGTAATTTTAAATCATCATATGTATAATTGAAAAATAGAAACCCTCTACTACTTCTTCCAGTAAAAAGTTACAGATTTATTAATTTAAAATATCGGATGATGCCATACTTTCTTTCACTTCAGTTTCAGCAATAAGTTCCTGGCCAGGGTTAGTGGCATCAAGCTTCTCTTGGTCTTAAAAAAATAATAAATGAAAAATTCTTAGACTGTTTTAAAACTTACAACTGCTAGAGAAACTGAAATGTGGTGAAATTAAATTAGTTGTTGTTTTAAAACTTACAACTGCTAGAGAAACTCAAATGTGGTAAAATTAAATTAGTTGCTGTTTTAAAACTTACAACTGCTAGAGAAACTCAGATGTGGTAAAATTAAATTAGTTGCTGTTTTAAAACTTACAACTGCTAGAGAAACTCAAATGTGGTAAAATTAAATTAGTTGCTGTTTTAAAACTTACAACTGCTAGAGAAACTCAAATGTGGTAAAATTAAATTAGTTGCTGTTTTAAAACTTACAACTGCTAGAGAAACTCAAATGTGGTAAAATTAAATTAGTTGCTGTTTTAAAACTTACAACTGCTAGAGAAACTCAGATGTGGTAAAATTAAATTAGTTGCTGTTTTAAAACTTACAACTGCTAGAGAAACTCAAATGTGGTAAAATTAAATTAGTTGCTGTTTTAAAACTTACAACTGCTAGAGAAACTCAGATGTGGTAAAATTAAATTAGTTGCTGTTTTAAAACTTACAACTGCTAGAGAAACTCAAATGTGGTAAAATTAAATTAGTTGCTGTTTTAAAACTTACAACTGCTAGAGAAACTCAAATGTGGTAAAATTAAATTAGTTGCTGTTTTAAAACTTACAACTGCTAGAGAAACTCAAATGTGGTAAAATTAAATTAGTTGCTGTTTTAAAACTTACAACTGCTAGAGAAACTCAGATGTGGTAAAATTAAATTAGTTGCTGTTTTAAAACTTACAACTGCTAGAGAAACTCAAATGTGGTAAAATTAAATTAGTTGCTGTTTTAAAACTTACAACTGCTAGAGAAACTCAAATGTGGTAAAATTAAATTAGTTGCTGTTTTAAAACTTACAACTGCTAGAGAAACTCAAATGTGGTAAAATTAAATTAGTTGCTGTTTTAAAACTTACAACTGCTAGAGAAACTCAGATGTGGTAAAATTAAATTAGTTGCTGTTTTAAAACTTACAACTGCTAGAGAAACTCAAATGTGGTAAAATTAAATTAGTTGCTGTTTTAAAACTTACAGCTGCTAGAGAAACTCAGATATGGTAAAATTAAATTAGTTGCTGTTTTAAAACTTACAACTGCTAGAGAAACTCAAATGTGGTAAAATTAAATTAGTTGCTGTTTTAAAACTTACAACTGCTAGAGAAACTCAAATGTGGTAAAATTAAATTAGTTGCTGTTTTAAAACTTACAACTGCTAGAGAAACTCAAATGTGGTAAAATTAAATTAGTTGCTGTTTTAAAACTTACAACTGCTAGAGAAACTCAAATGTGGTAAAATTAAATTAGTTGCTGTTTTAAAACTTACAACTGCTAGAGAAACTCAAATGTGGTAACATTATTTTTGTTGCCATTGGTCTAAATACAAAAACTTACCTTTACAGTAAATATCACCGGTCCTGATGACATGTTCTGAAACTGCGTGTTAAAAAACTTTAAAAATTAATTTATTGAAGTTTCACATTGTAAATCTAGAAACAAGCAGAACATAAATAAAAAGCAGGTTCCCTTTTGAACATGACAGTCCATAGAGCAATAGAAGTAGAGTTCATCTATTTCTGTGGCATATGAAGGGATAATGTGGTCAGCACTATGTCCAGTCACCTGTACTTTCCCCAACGTGAATCGGGTGATCAACAGAGCTGGGTGAAGTCAAGGACATTGTATGGACTAGTCCACATTCTATACCATTCAACATCATTATATTTAACGACCTTCTTTAAATTATAAATAATACAATGCACCTAATCTTACTGCTAGAAGTAAATCTAAGCATTCCAAAACACAAAGAAATTGTGCAAGTTTTAAACAGTGAACCATAGGAGCATAAAATGAATGACTATAACAGAATTAAATTAACTTTTGTGTTATGTTTTTTTTTTAATCATTATAAACTTACCATTTTTGCAGAAAGATTCATATGATCTTTTATAATCATGAAGAGTATTCTGCATTTCCTGAGTATTCATATATGGACAATTGCATATCATTTCTTCATAGCACTGTACCTGCACTTTAAAATTTCTGTTAAAAGAGAAAAACATTTCAATAAAAAATTAATTTAGTAAGAATTTTTCTTTTTTAATTTGTTTTAAAGTAAATATTTCAAATACCTTTTTAAAATGCTGGGAAGAAAAGAAATTATTTTAAAAACTTACTCGCAGGAAACGTAAGATTTGTCGTCCTTGTTTTTTAAACTAGAGTAATGGGATATAACTCTTTGATCACACGTCTCAAGAAAATTAATACATAGGTTACGTCCCTGGCCAACCAGTAAATCTAGATATTACAAAAAAAGAAAAATCTATTAATTTGAAAACGTAATTAAACTTAAAATAATTACTCTAAAGAGGTTTGCACTTTGGACAGTTTAGTTAGTTAATTATAAATTTTCTTAATCCACAACATAATCTTTACAAGTGTCACATATAAGTCACTAACTACACAATCTGTAGATACATGAATGGTTTAAAGTAAGTACACGAAGTGTTTTCTACCGTACTAAATAATACGTTAATAATACCTGATTTGGTCAAGTTTTGATCTGCACAGTTTAAAAATCCGAAAACTAAATCTAAAGAGATAACGTAATACTTAATTAGACAAAATAAATAACAACGCTTTCAATGCTTTACACTTTACAAATTATATAAAATTCATGATATTTCGTCACAATGCAGCAAGGGTTTTTAAATTTAGAGTATAATTATTGAACATAGGTGGCGGGGTTTCTAGAAATAACGTCAAGTAATTTGAACCTCATGTACCCCAGCTTACAATAAAACACAAAATAACAGTTCTCCTCTTCCGTCTCCTCCATTGCAAGTTTATATCACCTAACAACTGATGAAAATTATTTCTGTTTATGATAAATGCGTTAACATACATATATAAACTACGCCACAATTACATATCCCCCACTCATGTAGTGTAGTTGTAAAATCTGAATCCCCCCCCACCAACACCACTTTTCCTGTGTGTGTGATGGCATTTCGAGGCTTTAGGGTCGTGGAGGGGGGGGGGGTGGCATGGTGGGGCGCAAGGTCACACATATGAAACAAGCAACATTAACTTATTGGGAATACCTATGACACAATGGGGGGAGGGGGAATGTTTACATAGCTTAATGACACCATGGGGGAGGGGGGATGTTTACATAGCTTAATGACACCATGGGGGAGGGGGGATGTTTACATAGCTTAATGACACCATGGGGGAGGGGGGATGTTTACATAGCTTAATGACACCATGGGGGGAGGGGGGAATGTTTACGTAGCATAATGACACCATGGGGGAGGGGGGGATGTTTACATAGCTTAATGACAGCATCGGGGAGGGGGAATGTTTACATAGCTTAATGACACCATGGGGGGAGGGGGGAATGTTTACATAGCTTAATGACACCATGGGGGAGGGGGGATGTTTACATAGCTTAATGACAGCATCGGGGAGGGGGAATGTTTACATAGCTTAATGACACCATGGGGGAGGGGGGGAATGTTTACATAGCTTAATGACACCATGGGGGAGGGGGGAATGTTTACATAGCTTAATGACACCATGGGGGAGGGGGGATGTTTACATAGCTTAATGACACCATGGGGGAGGGGGGATGTTTACATAGCTTAATGACAGCATGGGGGAGGGGGGATGTTTACATAGCTTAATGACACCATGGGGGGATGTTTACATAGCTTAATGACACCATGGGGGAGGGGGGATGTTTACATAGCTTAATGACACCATGGGGGAGGGGGGATGTTTACATAGCATAATGACACCATGGGGGAGGGGGGATGTTTACATAGCTTAATGACACCATGGGGGAGGGGGGATGTTTACATAGCTTAATGACACCATGGGGGAGGGGGGATGTTTACATAGCTTAATGACACCATGGGGAAGGGGGGATGTTTACATAGCTTAATGACACCATGGGGAAGGGGGGATGTTTACATAGCTTAATGACAGCATCGGGGAGGGGGGATGTTTACATAGCTTAATGACAGCATCGGGGAGGGGGATGTTTACATAGCTTAATGACACCATGGGGGAGGGGGGGATGTTTACATAGCTTAATTACAGCATCGGGGAGGGGGAATGTTTACATAGCTTAATGACACCATGGGGGGGGGGATGTTTACATAGCTTAATGCCACCATGGGGGAGGGGGGATGTTTACATAGCTTAATGACAGCATCGGGGAGGGGGAATGTTTACATAGCTTAATGACACCATGGGGGAGGGGGGGATGTTTACATAGCTTAATGACACCATGGGGGAGGGGGGGATGTTTACATAGCTTAATTACAGCATCGGAGAGGGGGATGTTTACATAGCTTAATGACACCATGGGGGAGGGGGGAATGTTTACATAGCTTAATGACACCATGGGGGGGATGTTTACATAGCTTAATGACACCATGGAGGGGGGGATGTTTACATAGCTTAATGACACCATGGGGGGGGGGGGGGGTTACAAATCTTAATGACAACATGGGGGAAGGGGGGATGTTTACATAGCTTAATGACACCATGGAGGGGGATGTTTACATAGCTTAATGACACCATGGGGGAAGGGGGGATGTTTACATAGCTTAATGACACCATGGGGGAGGGGGGATGTTTACATAGCTTAATTACAGCATCGGGGAGGGGGAATGTTTACATAGCATAATGACACCATGGAGGGGGATGTTTACATAGCTTAATGACACCATGGGGGAAGGGGGGATGTTTACATAGCTTAATGACACCATGGGGGAGAAGGATGTTTACATAGCTTAATTACAGCATCGGGGAGGGGGAATGTTTACATAGCATAATGACACCATGGGGGAGGGGGGAATGTTTACATAGCTTAATTACAGCATCGGAGAGGGGGAATGTTTACATAGCTTAATGACACCATGGAGGGGGATGTTTACATAGCTTAATGACACCATGGGGGAGGGGGGGATGTTTACATAGCTTAATGACACCATGGGGGAGGGGGGATGTTTACATAGCTTAATGACACCATGGGGGAGGGGGGATGTTTACATAGCTTAATGACACCATGGGGGAAGGGGGGATGTTTACATAGCTTAATGACACCATGGGGGAGGGGGGATGTTTACATAGCTTAATTACAGCATCGGGGAGGGGGGATGTTTACATAGCTTAATGACACCATGGGGGAGGGGGGGATGTTTACATAGCTTAATGACACCATGGGGGAGGGGGGATGTTTACATAGCTTAATTACAGCATCGGGGAGGGGGGATGTTTACATAGCTTAATGACACCATGGAGGGGGATGTTTACATAGCTTAATGACAGCATCGGGGAGGGGGAATGTTTACATAGCTTAATGACACCATGGGGGAGGGGGGGATGTTTACATAGCTTAATGACACCATGGGGGGATGTTTACATAGCTTAATGACACCATGGAGGGGGATGTTTACATAGCTTAATGACACCATGGGGGAGAGGGGGATGTTTACATAGCTTAATGACACCATGGGGGAGAGGGGGATGTTTACATAGCTTAATGACACCATGGGGGAGGGGGGATGTTTACATAGCTTAATGACACCATGGAGGGGGATGTTTACATAGCTTAATGACACCATGGGGGAGAGGGGGATGTTTACATAGCTTAATGACACCATGGGGGAGAGGGGGATGTTTACATAGCTTAATGACACCATGGGGGAGGGGGGATGTTTACATAGCTTAATGACACCATGGGGGAGGGGGGATGTTTACATAGCTTAATGACACCATGGGGGAGAGGGGGATGTTTACATAGCTTAATGACACCATGGGGGAGGGGGGGATGTTTACATAGCTTAATGACACCATGGGGGAGGGGGGATGTTTACATAGCTTAATGACACCATGGGGGAGGGGGGATGTTTACATAGCTTAATGACACCATGGGGGAGGGGGGATGTTTACATAGCTTAATGACACCATGGGGGAGGGGGGGATGTTTACATAGCTTAATGACACCATGGGGGAGGGGGGATGTTTACATAGCTTAATGACACCATGGAGGGGGATGTTTACATAGCTTAATGACAGCATCGGGGAGGGGGAATGTTTACATAGCTTAATGACACCATGGGGGAGGGGGGATGTTTACATAGCTTAATGACACCATGGAGGGGGATGTTTACATAGCTTAATGACAGCATCGGGGAGGGGGAATGTTTACATAGCTTAATGACACCATGGGGGAGGGGGGGATGTTTACATAGCTTAATGACACCATGGGGGAGGGGGGATGTTTACATAGCTTAATGACACCATGGGGGAGGGGGGATGTTTACATAGCTTAATGACACCATGGGGGAGGGGGGGATGTTTACATAGCTTAATGACAGCATGGGGGAGGGGGGATGTTTACATAGCTTAATGACACCATGGGGGAGGGGGGGATGTTTACATAGCTTAATGACACCATGGGGGAGGGGGGGATGTTTACATAGCTTAATGACACCATGGGGGAGGGGGGATGTTTACATAGCTTAATGACACCATGGGGGAGGGGGGATGTTTACATAGCTTAATGACACCATGGGGGAGGGGGGGATGTTTACATAGCTTAATGACACCATGGGGGAGGGGGGGATGTTTACATAGCTTAATGACACCATGGAGGGGGATGTTTACATAGCTTAATGCCACCATGGGGGAGGGGGGATGTTTACATAGCTTAATGACACCATGGGGGAGGAGGGGATGTTTACATAGCTTAAGGACACCATGGGGGAGAGGGGGGAATGTTTACATAGCTTGATGACACCATGGGGGGATGTTTACATAGCTTAATGACACCATGGGGGGGGGATGTTTACATAGCTTAATGACACCATGGGGGGGGAATGTTTACATAGCTTAATGACACCATGGGGGGGGGGGAATGTCTACATAGCTTAATGACACCATGGGGGGGAATGTTTACATAGCATAATGACACCATGGGGGAGGGGGGAATGTTTACATAGATGACACCATGGGGGGGAATGTTTACATAGCTTGATGACACCATGGGGGGAGGGGGGAATGTTTACATAGCTTGATGACACCATGGGGGGAGGGGGGAATGTTTACATAGCTTGATGACACCATGGGGGGAGGGGGAATGTTTACATAGCTTGATGACACCATGGGGGGAGGGGGGAATGTTTACATAGCTTGATGACACCATGGGGGAGGGGGAATGTTTACATAGCTTAATGACACCATGGGGGGGATGTTTACATAGCTTAATGACACCATGGGGGGGAATGTTTACATAGCATAATGACACCATGGGGGAGGGGGGAATGTTTACATAGCTTGATGACACCATGGGGGGGGGGAATGTTTACATAGCTTAATGACACCATGGGGGGGATGTTTACATAGCTTAATGACACCATGGGGGGGGGATGTTTACATAGCTTAATGACACCATGGGGGGGGGGGTTACAAATCTTAATGACAACATGGGGGGGATGTTTACATAGCTTGATGACACCATGGGGGAGGGGGGATGTTTACATAGCATAATGACACCATTGATCAGACGACGGTCACCCACCCTGGTCACAGAACTCCTCGTGATAATGCCGAAGTTTCCGGATTGTTTGTCGTGCCGTGAGGTCAGAGTTCAAGCCACACTGGCAGAACTTGTCGTTCAAGCATTCAAGAAATAGGCGCGACCCCCTGGGGAAAGGTTCAATTACATCATTATTCTAACAGAGTGGAGAGGTATGAAAAAATATATATATAGATAAACCAGTTTCTCTTAACCCCCCCCCCCTATTTTCCAGAGTTTTCAGGCATCTTTCTAGGGGGGGGGGAGAGGGCGGAGTACACCCACCTCCACCGACTACCCCCTTCCCATTAGAGTTCCAGATACCTTTGAAAATCACACTATCACCCAATGTAATACAAATGAGATGGAGTATCATACTTTAATGCAATTTTAATCAATAAAAAATGGAGCTCACGTTAATTAACAACAACCAATCAACGTTATCGATCACGAATTATGTTTTATTTAACCCTGTGCAAAACACACTGACAAACTCACTGGCAGACGAGAGCGACCTGCTCTTCCTCGTCCGTTGTGGCCATGGCACGCGCATTGTACGCCTGGGTCAGGTTGTAGCACTGGTCGTAGCCAGGGCACTTGAGGTCGATGTTCTTTATCTTGGTCTTCAGATCCACTGGATTGGGGGTGGGGAGTGGGGTGGATCGATGCACAATTTGGGGGTAGTGAGTACAACGTGATAGAGCAATATAAAAAATCTATTCAAGATTGTAGGAATTTTTTCATTGCTTTCAGATTTAGGTTACAAAATATATATTAAAAATAACAAAGTAATAGGCCTACATATGTAATGTAGATATTTAAAAAAAAAACTATTTTTAAAGGAAACTTGCTTATGCTTATATAAATGTGTATGTAGATTTAAAAAAAATCTTTTAAAATAAGAAAAACTGCTTTAGATTTCACTTTTGTTTCACTTCACTAGTGTAAACCAGGTTGTGAGAATGCTATCAATGCTTACACGAGCTTTCAATTTCTCCAAAAATGACATCTTCTTTTGGCTCCAAATGTGCTTCATTTGTGAAAGCTGGTGTGACATATTACGTAATGAATATTCTATTAACATTTCTATGTAACATAATAGATAAATAGGTAGATAATGTATTATATATATATATATATATATATATATATATATATATATATATATATATATATATATATATATATATACATATATATATATAATTTTAATTTAGCACTTATATTAGAAATGTTACAACAATTTAAGGAACTAATGTGTCATTTTATTTTCCTGCAACGCTTAGATCTCTTGTATCCAGCTTACTGAAACCTCGGCAGAAAGTTATCCTTTCGAACCTGACGGTCAATGGGGCAGATGAAATAGAGTTCATCTTTTGATTTGACCTCGCACATAAAGGGATAGTGTGGCCAGCTATACATTGCCACCTTTACTTTCCCTAACGTGAGTCAGGTACCTATCGGGGGTGGAGTCAAGGACGTCCTACGGATTAGTCCACGTTCTACACAGATCTAGATCGTGCCTGAGATCTAGATCGGATTAGTATTGTTGTAGCCTAATGTACCCAGTCTTTTAATCTTTTTTTTTTTTTTTGAGGAACTTCGAATGCTGAAATTTTAGGCTCCAATATAACAAAAATACTAGATCTAAATTCTAAATAGACTCTATTTTTCCGGAACGGTTTAGCGGTATTAAAAAAAAGTAAAACAAAACAAAAAATAAATAGCAAAACAATGGCTATATAGTATATCACACTGTTCCTGATCACTGGAATTACTGTAAACCATGTTTTATTTAACGCTATCCTTTTTTTTTAAATACAGAGTGTTGAAAAATGTGGACAGATTGATTTTAGTCGCATGTTAAATACTGTTTTGCTTATCATTTTTAGTGTTTAGCTAATCATTTCTGCTGATCAGTTTTCGCTAATCAATATTCAAGTCATTTTTATTATTTTAGTAATCATTTTTTACTAGATCTAGATAATTTTTACTTATTGTCGCAACACTTCTGAAAGTTTTTACTCCTGTTTCTTAAAAAAAACATCAATTTATACTACACTTGACTTTATTTTTAAATTAAGATACACTAATTCTTGCTAATTTTCTGTATGTTTTGTTTCTTTTTCTTTACGTCGATTAAACTTAAAACATATTTGTACACTCGGCTTTGTTTATAATTTAACGGTTGAATAAACTATGTTTTAAGGTATCTACTGTTTACGAAACAAATACTTCCGGAAAGTATCCGAAGCTAGAGGCTAGATCTATAATAAATATAATGTGATTACCAAATCTAGGCTAAGTAATAATATTATGATACACAATTTTAAAATCATATGCGATGTAACGTCGAAATGACTTTAACTTAAACAATGAACAGTACACGTCTTACATTTGCATCGAATGTTTCCAGATTTCGTAACATGTCCAACAACTGAAACAGACTATAAAAAGTTTAGTTCAATGTGAAAGTTTTCCCGCCATTTAGTGCAACAAATAAAAAGCATTGTTTTCTTAACGAAAAAAAAATCTATTTTAAATCAGATTTCTTTCAGGCATTTCTAGGCGGATTGGAGGGGGCATTTGGAAATTTTGGAGGCGGGGCGCACTTAAAATTTCTGGGGGAGGGGTCAAAATAATTATTTTCTATATTAATTATATATTTTTCTATTCGCCCGGGGGGGGGGGGGGGGGGGGGCTGTGCTTCCCTTAAAGAGATGTCGGAAAGAAACTGACTTAAAAATCATAATACCCTTCAATGGTAGACTTTGTGTTTGTGTGTGTGCAAATAAAAACAAACACAAATTATTATTTTTTTTAATAACAATATGAAATATGCTGATATGAAAAATATTTTACATACTTTACCTACTTAACCTTTTAGTTATCATTTGCTTTTAAATGAACTGTTACAGTGGCGTAGCTAGGATTTTTGGGCCCTATGCAAAAAGTGTTAGTGGGCCCCTTAGAGGCGTAGCGACCCTTCCCGGCGACCGGGGACAAACTTTCGATTTGCCTTGGGCCCCTATACCTTGCTTACGCTAGCTTTACGGTAGCTACGCCACTGAACTGTTAATCATGGACGGAAGTGCAAGAAGGACTAAGTATTAATTTCTAGTAAGATTAAATACGACGTTTTAGTATTTCTTTAGCACTGACCGTTGGAACAGTTGCCCCTATACGAAATCATGGCGTCATCATACTGCAGCACTAATTCGGCTGAATTCATACCAGGGCATTCACAAAGATAATCCTCAATGCAGATCATGCTTTCCAGTGTCAGTCTGATCAAAATGCATATATATATATATATATATATATATATATATATATATATATATATATATATATATATATATATATATATATATATATATATATATATATATATATATATATATTATGGGGGTGGGGGAGGGGGGATAGACGTGCGCGAGAGGAGGGTATGCCAGGGGCACGCTGAACTGAACGCTAGCGAGTCGAGAGGTCAAACTGTGGTTGGTTGCAGGCCGGGGGAGGTTATAGACCGGGTCGGCTGAATCAGGTCATGTCAGGCGGCCCGACCAGGTCAGGTCAGGTCAGTGGTGTGGTACAAAGGTCAGGCGAGGTTAGTGAACGACTTACTCGCAGACGACGTAGGCCGTTTGGTTGAGCTGGTTGGGTTTGAACATGGCCTGTCTGATCGCCTGCCTCTCCTCGCAGGCCGTCACCGGGTAGGTACACAGCCGCTCAAGGTCACTGGGCGGACCCGTGGGGAGAGGGGTGGGTGTGGTTGTTTGCTTTGTATCTGTAAATAATGGGGGGGGGGGTAACTTATAAGTTAACGTAAAAATTTATTATAAAATGGTTTTTTTTAATAACAAACGGCACTAATTTGAAAGATTTTTCTTTTCAATCGGAAACTAATTTTATACTAGAGATCTGCTATTAAATGTATACAGATTAGCAAAACATTTCAGTTTTTATATTACTCACTATTTATTACTTGTATTTAAAAATATGTAAAGGTCTATAATATTATACATCTAGATCTACATGAAACAGACATATTGGACTAAAACCTAAACATATCCATGACTTACCACCGTTGCACCGCAAATAGCCGATATTCAGATCTGTAATACACGCAACAATAATGTGATACCAGTAATAAATAAATATGATTTTGATGCTAAACTATAGTGTGTGTGTGTGTGTGCGTGTGTATGTGTGTGTGTGTGTGTGCGTGTGTATGTGTGTGTGTGCGTGTGTATGTGTGTGTAGAACATTGCCAGTTGCTGTCTACTGATATTCTAAAAATTAGCACAGTCCGGTTAAAGTTCGGATGATATTAGGGTAAGCGAAGGCACGTTTGATGATAAGACTGGGTTAGGGTTATGAATGGTGTTAGGGTTCGGATGTTTGCCTCACCCTCGTTACAGGACGACTCGTGGTTGTGACGTATCTGCCGCAGGACCATCTTCAGGGCTGGGTTATTTCCCTGCCCACACGCACACAACACCTTCTCGGTACAGGCCAGGCTTTCCTTCGACGCCCTGGTTAAAAAAATTTATAAAGCAGTTTCAGCATCTTTTCAAATCAGTCATCATTTCGCAATTTCATATTGGGGTGGGAAGGAGGGGGGGGGGGGGGCGCTTGAAATTTTCGTTTTCGGGAGGGGGGGGCTAAAATTGTCTAAACTAGGGGGGGGGGAAGGGTTTGTTTACCGAATGGAGTAGACCCGCATATATGAACAGTCAACAGATACAACCAACAATTGGCCTGCATATATGAACCGTCAACAGATACGACTAATAATTGACCTGCATAAAACATGTACACACTCGACTGACAACTGACCTGCATAAAACATGTTAACACACGACCGACAACTGACCTGCATAAAACATGTTAACACAAGACTGACAACTGACCTGCATAAAACATGTTAACACACGACTGACAACTGACTTGCATAAAACATGTTAACACAAGACTGACAACTGACCTGCATAAAACATGTTAACACACGACTGACAACTGACCTGCATAAAACATGTTAACACAAGACTGACAACTGACCTGCATAACAACTGGAATGTCTCCTGTGTTGTCAAATTTCTAGAGGATATTTTTTTAACTTGACTTGTGTAGTTGTAGTGGCAAGAGGCATATCCGGGGCACCGGGCATTTAGTTTTTCTACCGTGCTCTCAACTGTCACTGTAGGGTAGGTGGAGTAGAGGGCTGTAAAATTCTTGGTTTCACATAAGCTTAATTACACGTTTACATTTTTTTTCTATCAGAACAGCAGTTTTTTGTTTTGGTGTCACCCATCTCATTTTTTTTTGTTGGACGATTTTAGCTGCGCCTATCGACGTATTTAACTCCCATCTTTCAATGATGCTACCGGGCTAAGCATTATTATCTCACTGTATGTAATTTTCGTCATAGTGTCACCCCTCCCACCTCACCCCACACACAATGGTGTCACGTCACCTGTTTCAACCCCTTCGTCTCTGCCTATTGTAGCTATTTACAAAGTTTAGTATTCATCTGATCAGATTCGAGAAATTACCTACAGTGTTTCTTCCAGACTTTTTTCTCCGGGGGGGGGGCACTGGAAATCTTCGGGGGGGGGGCGGTAAACTTTCTTCGGGGGGGGGGCGGACACTGTTAAAAGTATATATTTTCTATATAAATTATATAAATTTCATTTCGTTCGGGGGGGGGCGGTAAAAAATTTTCGGGGGGGCTTCGCCCCCCCCCCCGAAGAGATGCCTGGAAGAAACTCTGATTACCTAGCCTTGTTATTGAATCTTCAAAAAGAAGTTAGTGACAATATGTTAGACACCACACAAGGCGACACCAAAAAAAAAATTCTCTCGCCCCATATCATTGTCACCAATTTTCAAAGTTGACATTTTTTTCACACAAAAAATTACTGCTTTAATAAATTACTTGAATGTCTATTGTGTTCTTCCACGCCCCTTAGTTTGACGCCCGGGGCTCAGGTTTTACCTCGCCCATCCCTAACCCTGATACAGGCTAGATCTTTGCCTGTTGTACCTTACTTGGTAGAATAAAGAAACGCTTGCCGTCTGCGCGTATAATTAGCGTATAATTAGCGGCTGTCTACTCACACACGTCTTCCGCCTCCTCCAGTATCCCGTCATTAACCAGGTTCTCGTGGCTCGTCACGTTGTGATCTTCTGCTTGGGGAGGGGGAAAAGCGTATCAAGAAACAGAAACAAAAATAGTTTGTGGTTCTCTGGGGTCGTAAAATAAAAACGCTAGGCAATGTCACACGCGCACATGGACACACAAGCACACACACACCTACACACACACACACGCACATACACACACAAACACACAAAGCCCAGAAAAAAAATCTCAGACTGTTTGATGTTGCGAAGTTCCACCCACCCATTCCTCTTAATAAGAGATACAAAACGTATGCGACCTCACATACAAAAAGTATCTTACCCCAGACACAATATGTATGCTAAACCACATTAAAAAATGTATGCTAACCCACATACAAAAATGTGTACTACCTCACTGTGGACCTCACATTTCCACAGGTAGGACAGTAACTTCATATGAAATACCAATCTACACATACGTTTATTTAAAAAATAAATGGTTCTAGTTTGTAAACATGTACTTACTTAAACATTTTAAATCTTTGTTAGTCCTGATGTGACTTCCTGGAACTAGTTTAAAAAAATAAAATAATTGTAGGCTATAAAATCTAGCTATCAAAAATAAAATTATTTACTTAACAGTAACTCAAAGTGCTGTTCTGTAAAAAAAAAAGTATGTAAGGGCAGTAAAAACAGTTTTACACTCCCTTGTCTGTTTTTAAATATTATAATAAAATTGTATGCATAGAAAGGAGGTAGAGAAGGTGATTTTCTATTTTTAACTTCGCCCTTCTCTGCTGCTGATCCATACAACAGTATACCTGAGAAATAATCTCGTTGCTATCGGGTATAGCCACAGACTGAATTGAATAGGTTTAAAACTTTGTACAAGTGTATAATTTTTACTCAACGTATTTATATTCTAGGTTTACTGACAATTTTATTTCCTCGTTTATGTATCCAGAAGGGTGACAAAATGGCCACAACTAGACATCCATGATATGTTGGTCTCTAATTGGTGAACTGATCCCGTTAAAAGACCTCTTTTATTGGGAGCCTTATTGACGGGAGCCATATTGCCATGGGTTTTTAATTTTATCAGGAATCAGATTGTTAAGAGCTCTGTCATTCTGTGCTGTATTGTCAAAGACTTTATCGTCGGAACAGTCACTATTTCAGCGATACATATTTACGAGATATTTTAGTCACACCCCATTTGACCAAGTCGTATTTTTTCGGGGCTGTTTTATCTCGAGCCATTTTGACCCGCAGACAGCAGACGACTCACCTTTACTGCAGGCAGACGTGTACTGGTCAAACAGCTCACTAAAGGCTCGGACCTGGAGCTGGCTGAGTTCGGCCACGCACGTGCACAGGTACTCCTCAGTACAGCTGACCGTTGTCTCGTACACGCTGGAAAGAGGGGGTGAAATGTGAGGGGGTGGGGGAGGGGTGCCTTACATTAGGCTGTTGGTAAGTATTTCGTGTATATCGCTCAATACAAAGCTTAATTACGATATTTAGAAATAGACTAGCTTTGTGTCAGTGGAAGCTTTATTTTTTTAAAAAGCATTGTGTAAATTGATAACAATACACGAACCTAGCAGTTTTATTTCAGTGGTTTCTCGCAGCAATTGACCGTCAAAGTTAGATTTCTAAATTTGGACTTTCGCACATACCAAAACAATCTGCTGTTCTATTACCCGCTGTTTACACACTGGCTATACATTATATTATTATGTTTGGTTTTTCATTGCATACACTTTTGATTTAAACAGAAACAAACTGTCAAAACAAAAGGATGTTTCGCTTGATGGTCTTCGTCAGATCAATAACAACAATTTGGTTGGATGCGGATTTAGAAGACTGAGAAGGCTAACACAATATTCAAATGAAGGAACAAATTGGTATTGAAACTGCAATGGGCTCTTTAAAAAGTGTGTCTAATAATTAAACTAACTCACATGCACGCGTAGAGGTCTTGTTGTGCTAAGGTCAGGTTGACCACCTTCTTCTGAGCCCTAGTCCCACACTCGGTGACCATGTCCGTACATAGCATGGGGGTTGGCGCGGCAGACGACGCTGCACACAGAGGCGTCACCATCATTAAATTTGTAAACGTTTTATTAAAAAAAATAGAAAAAATTAGATGCGTTTAGTTATTTTTTTACTGTAAATAGTATTTTTAAATACAAAGGCAGTTTCTAAAGCCTAAACAAGATGATATAGCATCTTAAATGTTCACTTGTGTTTATGTTATGGGGTTTTAAAAAACAAAATTGTTATATGAAAATGTTTTTGTTCAACTGTAAAGTTTATCGGAACTTGTACTTTTAAAAACGACTTATAGGCATTTAAACTACTTACCCAAGCCACATAGTGCAATAATTACAGCAAAGGCACAAATCGACACGACTTTATAATAACATTGCATCTTGTTTGAAATGGACAACTTACAGATGTCCATGTTTTAAAATTAAAACTGTTTTTAAATTAAGTTTTAAAATATGCAGGGCCTACACGTCAATTATAATAAAACTGTGACCATTGGTCTACACGATTCAAACCGCCCACACACACACTCGCCCAGTCACTGGTTTCCCCTGTAGTTACATGTGTGTAATGTCCCAAGCCACATCAATACACCCCAGCCTTTCCACGAATGTCACCAATAAAACAATAGTCTGGCTGTCGTAGCATTCAGCAATGACAGATTCAGGTGAGGGGAGCGGAAAACGCAACGAACCGAAACATTAGTTTTCAATTTTGGCCACAGATAAAAATCTGGCCAACAGATCTAGGATCAGTAAAATCAATCTGGGCATATAAACAATACCTTCTCGGCGCAATGGCGTAGACATGTATTTTGTCGTGGGATTTTGGGGGCAATCTAGCCCTTAGCACACCTTGTCTACGCCACTCTCTTGGCAAATATCAGTTTATTTCAACTCTTTCTTAAAAGGGTCGTCAAAATGCATTGAACGGAATATGATTCTGGATAGACTACATTCCGGCTTGACCGAATGTAAACAGATATAAATAATGCAAAAAATAGATTTGAAAAGAATATCAATGTTATGATTTAAATTTGAGTCTACAGTATTTTTAACCAATTTGGCTCTTGCGCCAAACTTATTTAATTTTTTTTAAATTTACTGTTTTTAAGGTCTATTTCAATATCTCTTCTTCTTCTTCTTCTTCTTCGTTCTTAATTTTAGTGTTGGAAGGGATCCCCCTCCAACATAATTGAGGATACTGTCAGCTGGTTATGCGCCATTGAGGCCATTGACTCCGATTTCAGCCTGCTATTCTTTTTGGATTTGCTTCCATAGCCTTTGTCCAACCAAGAACAAACTACAAGGCAGCAGTTGTTTGATTTTTGGAGTAGTCTCTCATAGAAGAGCGGCTGTCCCCAGCTAACGAGCCTCATCTGCCCGAGGGTTCGAACTCGAGACTTTTCGGTTTAGCAACCTTGAGCTTTTACCGAATCGACCACACCGACCTCTATTTCAAATAATGTCGCATATCAATGATTGCAGTATTTTTTTTCTACTTAAATTTAATTTTTCGTCCCATGGTTGTGTTTCGATGCATTAACCCCCCCCCCCCCTTTCCCCCCCCCCCCCCCCCCCCCCCCCGGAATGATGAATAAAAGATAGATTGTGTTATGTAAAGATCCGTGAGTGTGTTCTAAATAGTTGGCGTTTTTTGTTAGTTCTTTCTTTTTTTGTCACGCTGCATCGATTTGTACAAAAGGGTCATCCATATATGACGTCACGCTTTTATTGACGATTTTTACCTCCCCATCCCCCCGTCACACTTCTTCACAAAAAGCCAGACACCCCCCCCCCCTTAAAATGACGTCACACCTCAGCCTACATTCCCCCTCAAAATTGCAGTTGAATTTTTTTTTAAACTTCGATATTTTTCTAAAATCTTGTCTGATCGCTGTCAAAATAGAGTATTTTAATCAATTCCTATTACAATTTATTAAAACAGTTTTCTAAAACTCGAAATAACGGCTAAAACTCGTTTTCTAACATTGCTTTTTTATAATGCAAAAGTGTGACGTTGCACCATCTGAACCCCACCCCCTCATCACACACCGTCACAAAATTACGGACCCCCCCCCTCTTCCCCCCCCCCCCCCCCCCCGCTACGAGTGTGACTTCATTTATGGACGATCCCAAATGACACATTAGGATAGGGGGAAAATATGCTTAAAACACTTTGGTGATATTCTTTTGACTAATAATAATTTGCTTCCACAATTTAAGCCAGCGTTGTCACATATAAATGATGGTTAATTTTTTTTTTTTAAACACAGATAGAGTGGCCTCCAGGTTTGAAAATCTACCAACAAGGCCAAATTTGAAACTTGTTCAATATTCCGATTGCAGTTACAATTAAAAAAATACTTAAAAAAAACTTTTTAAAAAACCACGTTTTTCTTGTGGACTAAAAAGTAGAAAATAACTATTTACATACATTTGATGACAAAAAACGTGGGTACGTTCACCATCAAATTTCCCGACCCATCTGCCCGACCCACGTTTTTTGTCATCAAATGTATGTAAATAGTTATTTTCTACTTTTTAGTCCACAAGAAAAACGTGTTTTTTTAAAAAGTTTTTTTTAAGTATTTTATTTTCTCCTTTTTAGTCCGTTGCTACACATGAAAAACGTGGTTTTTAAAAAAGTTTTTTATATAGTTTATTTTCTACTTTATCTAATGACTTGATTAAGTATGAATTGACTAAGTGTTTATAAATACACGGACTAAAAAAATCTTGAGCGACCAGGATTCGAACCTGGGTTGTCGCGGCCACAACGCGAAGTACTAACCACTATACGATCACGGCCAGCGCGCTCACATCGATTGGGGCCGAAGTAACTGTGTCAACAAGCCTCCAGTCTTGTCGGTATCTTTAGAAATCATGTCCTCAATTTTATGGTCCTTTGGGCGTAATTAAATTAAGCTAATTACGGTCTTTAATTGCTAGTTTTTATGATTGCATCTGAAATTGTTAGGCGAAAGTAGCATGCATGCCAAATTTCAGGTCTCTAGAGCAATCAGAAGTGGGCTAATTTTCGATGTCAATTTTAACAACAAACAAATCCACACATCCACAAACGCGAAGCTGAGTTAAGAAAAACGTGTTAAAAAAAAAACTTTAATTCATCTCTCCCTTACACAATATCTGCCCACACTGAATTGACCCCCCCCCCTCCCGGAAAATGACACCAGACCCATCTCGCTGGTTGGGTTAAGCCAACAGGCGTCAGCAGCGTGGTCCAGTTCTGTTCTCACCTCATCCTCCCGGTGTTGCTATTTTTAGATTATTTGTGTTTGATGTTAATTCATACCCCGGCCAAGCCCGTGGACACAGAGCAGATGACCTATTCTGATTGGGTCGCAGCGAGATCATTGATTAAATTATCATCCAACCATCAACGTCAGTCACAGCCTCGAGAGTTCACTAGCTTCTCGCGAGAGTTCAGTGTATTCCCCTGGGCAAGCAAGTTCTATGCAATTTGTAATTTGTATACATTAGCTATCCGAATTACACTTCTTTTTATCAACTTGAAATATTACCAAAAAAAAAACAAAAACAAAACAGTACTACAAGTATTAAAAATCCCAAATGAAAATGTATGTGAATCAGCAGAAAATACCATACACAAATAATTAACAAGAAGAGTAGGTTTATAATTCAAGGAAGCTCCAAATTTTTTCCTTATTGTGGGGGAGGGGTGGAGACGGGAGAGTGAAAGGAGAAAAAGCAGTGTCAACTTTGTAGGAGTATTTATATATCTAAACGGGAAAATTAATTAAATAAAGTATATATATATATATATATATATATATATATATATATATATATATATATATATACAGGGGCGTAGCGAGGGGGGGGGGGGTGCGGACCGCACCGGGTGACACCATTTAGGGGGGTGACACCAAGGCAAAAAATAGCAAAATATATAGAGAAAAACTCGAGGGGGGGGGGGGTGCAAATCGAAAGGTTGAGGGGGGGTGCAAATCGAAAACTCGAGGGGGTGGGTGCAAATCGAAAGGTTGAGGGGGGGTGCAAATTGAAACCTCGAGGGGGGGGGGGTGCAAATCGAAAGTTTGAGGAGGGGGGTGCAAATCGAAAACTCGAGGGTGCAAATCGAAAATTTGAAAGTTTGTCCCTGGGAAGGGTCTCTATGCCTCTGGGGGGGGGGGGGGGGTGACACCATTAAGTGCCGCACCGGGTGACACCCGACCTCGCTACGCCACTGTATATATATATATATATATATATATATATATATATATATATATATATATATATATATATATATGTGTGTGTGTCTGTGTGTGTGTGTTTATATGCATGTATATATATAGGCTACAATCTGTAATAAATGAAGAACTATTAGTTGATAATTTAGTATTTATTTAATGAATGATACATTCTTTATCCATCAGATGACTAAATCAATGTGTTCAAATCAAATACAAATTGTGGTTTACAAGCATAGGGTCAAGAAACAAACCTGGCCTAGCTAGTGAGACCAGGTTTGTTGTTCTGTTGACTGTCTTCACATAGCAGATGGTATCTTCATATCCTGACACCTTGCACCTGCCTACACTCATGAATATTCTTACATATTTTATCTTATTTTTTCCAATTAATAAGTAAGAAGTACATTCTAAGCAATGGTAGTCTTGTCTTATGAAGCAGGGTTATATTATAGAACAGCAAGTATGAACAAGTAAAATAATTATCTCAAAAGTAAATGTTTCCAATTTTGTTAAATTCAGATCTAAAAACTACACATTCATTTAAAATTTACATTAAAATCAATTTTAAAATCTTTGTGGTTTCATAAAGAATATCAATTAAAATTAAATTACAACATAAATAAGTGAATGGATTAATCAATAGTGATAATGCATTTACTCCAACATTTTATTTAATGTATTTTTAGCAAGCTTTTTTTTGTTAAAGCTAATCGTTATTATTTTGTATTTAAATCATGACATTGCAAATGAATATGGTAACACATTTTAAATGAGAGAATTAAATGTGTACAAACAGGGTGTCATAGCTATTTGTTTCTAAACATGTCAATGCTGTTTAAACATTGAAAAGTCTCATGCTATCACTAGCTGTGATGGAAGATATTAATCAAATGCTGTACTTGAAAAAATAAGTCATTCTCATCAAAATAATTTATAACAAAACCTTCACAGACTAAACAATTAAATAGACACATGATAATTTACTTACATTACAAACAGTATATTTTAAAAAACATAAGTAAAAAAAAACAACTCAAGAAGTGGTAATTACACAAAATCAATTTTTAAAATACATCTAAATGACAATTAACATAAAAAACTGTAAGACAAAGAAGTGTATATTGCTATAATAAATAGTACAACTCTAAAAAACAAACTTTAAAGAAACAGAAAATGTGTTTAGCTTGGTCTATTTCTTCAATTCTATGACAATCAGTTAGAAGATGGCTACGTTGTTAGCATATACAACTAGTGAGACAATCAAAACACAAATCTCCACCAGAATATCACACATGACTCATGTAGTGATCTTCACACCATACATATTGAATAACACTTAAATAACTTTTAATGAGATTATTTGGAATGCAAAACTTAGAACTCTAATTGTTTATAGTATAAGAATTAATTTAAAATAAAACAGGGTCTAAATAAAATGGAAACACTGAGATCAAAGAGTATATAAATTAAAACTAGCTTGTGCAGCTAAATGTTTTTTTTTAATTTGTTTATCTCCCTTGTATTACTAGGCACACACAAAATTCCACAAAGAATTTGGAACAGAAATTACATGAAATAAGAATACAAAAATAGAAAGACCTTGAAAAAATACAATAATAATTCTACATGCAACACACCTTATTGAGTATTTCTGAATCCTAAAAAAAGTTTTTAGCATTTGTAAGGTACATTCAACAAAAATATTTTAAAGAAGAAAGGTACAATTTAAGTATGGTAAAATTTTCAATGTTTTTATGAATGAGTTGCAGACACACTAAAGATTCTTACTAAATTAGCCTTAGTGTAAAGTTGTCAATTCGAGTTTCAATTTAATTAAGCAATGAAAATAATTTCTGTGTATTGTAATTTGTAATATTGAGGTGAACAAAAATCAGTTTATTTCAACATAAACATACTCAAACTGAACAACACTTAATTTAAATGTCAGTCATACACATCGTAGTAATAAAAAGATAAATATATATATTTTAATCCAATCAATTAACCAACCAATCAGTCAATCAACCAATTAGGCTCTAATTAACAACTCCATCTTAGAGTAGTTAGAATACAAGAAATAGGGTCATATGTGGAGGAAATTATTTTTAGATTTGGTAAAGAAATCTTTTTGATCTAGAAAACATTTACAAAAAAGGAATATAATGCAATATTATTAAAGCCATTGAAAAGCCAATGTTTGTTCCTAATAGAAGTTGTGATGTAATTAAGATCTGCATTTTTAACACAAGTTAACAAACATTTACTTATTAAAAGATGTTAAGTAACAATTAATTAACAATGATAATGCTTAGTCCAATATACTTTAATTAAAGCTGCAATATAAGTGTGATTACCTCATTTAAGAAGTGATTGTATGAAATAAACATAGCTACCATTTAATGGTATATACAAGCAGCTATTTTTAACAACTCTCCTCTAATAGGTACTCAGTAATAATGCTAGATCTATGTCTGATTACAAAACCATATCTAGAATAAAGCATTGGTTTTTATGTCAAAAGATGAATAAGAAAACATTTCTAACCCTCTCTTACTCTATCATAAATTTAAAGGTCACATTTTTAAAAAATCTCTAAGACCAAATCCTCAATAAAATTCCAGAGTTGAAATAAAAATCAAACAAATGTATTCTGTGATAAAATTAAGACAAAATCAGGACAAAAATACTTTGTAAGAATATATACAAGTATGTTCTTATGTACATGAAAACTTTATTTAATGTAATACATAGGTAGAAGTATATAAAAGATTTCTATTACTGAAATTACTCTTAAATATAATTAAACTACAATAACTGTGAATATACTAGTTGACAAGAAAGTAAAAAGAAAGAATAGAATCACAACCATTTGAACAGCAGTTTGGTCAAAAAGGAAACTAGTTTTGGCTGAGGAATAGTTGGATTATTTCATTGAAACTAACAGGCAACTAAAGCTATATGAAAGATAGATTATTTCACTGAAATTAACAGGTAACTAAAGAAAAAATCAGAACATACTTCTATTATGGACAAATACTACATAACTGTCTTTTCACAGCAATGCTAGCACATTTATGTTTTTAGTTATTTAGTTGGTAAAATTAGGAGATTCCTGACAAAATGCTATCAAATGTACATTATGTTAAAGATTAGCAGAGTATAAGTTAAAAAAACTTATGTCTTTAAGATAAACCATTTTATTATTTTAAAAAGTATTATAAGAACAACAGTTATAAAAATGGCCCATTTTCTAAAGATGTCCCTTCATTACCAACAGCTTGAATGACTAGGTGACAATAAAAAAATACTTGTAGAGTAACAAATTAGGTTTTCAATTGTAGGAGATGAAATGTTTGTACAACATAAGTATTTACATAGTCAGGAATACAAGTTTTTAAAATCAATTCATTTTCTATACAGCATAATTTTTATTCTGTACAGAAATATTGGGAGTCAATGCATGTTAGAAACTTCTTAAGTTGTCTTCAATGTTGTCCAGATGCTCATCATCTGAATAAAGATTTTACATTCCTCAGCACACAGAGATAACAATGCTTCCACTTTCAACTGTTATATCTCCACAGAAACCCTGTAAATCACACATTCAGATATGCTAACTGCTGCCTACACTCATACCCTTATCATATCCTCAGCTGCTTAACAATAACATTGTGTTGATTTCAAAAATGACATTTAAAAAAAAAGTATAAAAATAAAATGATTATGTTACTAGTTGTTGGAACAGTTATTTTTATAAAAGAAAATAAAAAGAATGATACAATATAGTTTAACTTACACTCCAAGTTATCCCTAGAGTTAAATTTCTGGTACACCTTGTAACTTTCCAGTGAAAATGTGATTGTCTTGTTTTAACTTGTATTTCAAAAGTCATTCATTAGTACAAGATTTCTTCCTGTTATGCCTGGTACTCCATATATCCACACACAAAAAACTCAACCAAAAAAAAACAACAGTGTATGTACATTTGTCATACAGCTGCAGGTTCTGGCACTCCATCAGTGATCACTCATTGAATATACAAGTAGAATCCTTTCAGAGTTAATCCTTATTACAGCAGCAACCAATCCTGGATACATCAGATACAAATCCCAAACTGTATCTGGCACAAATCTTGACTACAAATGGCACAAACCAACTACAGCTGGTTACAGGTCCTGACTACAGCTGGTTACAGGAAGTGATGACAGCTGGTTACAAGTCCTGAATACAGCTGGTTACAGGTCCTGACTACAGCTGGTTACAGGTCCTGACCACAGCTGGTTACAGGTCCTGACTACAGCTGGTTACAGGATGTGATGACAGCTGGTTACAAGTCCTGAATACAGCTGGTTACAGGTCCTGATTAAAGCTGGTTACAAGTTAATTTCTTCTTTGATTTTCTGTGCCAAACAACAGGAAAAAATAATTCCAAAGAGTTGCAGAATGCTCAGTCCAAGACCAACCCCTCCAATAAGAATGAGGTGAAATCTTACGTATTTTTCCAGATGGTCTACACATCCCTGTAAATAAATAACAGAAGGGTACTATTGGTGAGTTATGTGGAATAATTTATGTGGACATATTTCAAAGTATCAACAAAAAAATTGTTTGTGATGAAGTGTGATGAAATGTCATTTAAGAATAACGTCTATCATGATAAATGAATAACCCAATAACTTGTAAATTTTTTCAACCTTAACGATCATAAATATTTCTTTGATGTGGCAGCTTTTCTAAAAGTTAGGTGTCCTATATAGGCAGACAGTTTCTGCCTATTTTTAGGATGGAGTGTTAAACACCATTCTCACTTCCCACATGTTGTTCACCATCTTATGTCAAGTACTCATTAGAGCTGTGAGGACTCAGGTATGTCTTGTGGAGTTGAGTCAGGGAAAACTATCTCAAAATGTTCAGGTCGTCATGATAAAAGTTGAGCAATAAAATAAAACAATTTTACATTTTTACTTTATATACTTTAAAATCCTAACTAAATATTGAGAAGAACTATGAGATCCAGCTCACCTCAGTGTAGACACCAGCAAGAGTGCAGGTGGCATTGGTCAGGCTACAACATGTTGTAGGGAACACCCTGGTATCATTTCTCTGCATGCTCCACTTTGAGAACTCCCAGTCACTGCTGGATGTGGCCCCACAACAATGGAACTGGGAAAATATTTTAAATTTATTCTATCATGCATCTTTTCAAACAAGAACAATTACAATGTTGTAAAAGAATCTAAAACAAATATACAGGGAGATAACCAAATAAAATACAATTAAACTTAATGCATATTTATATTCAAAAACTTTTTTTTTTTAAATTATCATACATTTAAAAAAAAAACTGTTTACCTGTGATTGCATATTATCAACAGCTATTGTAACGTCATTATCTACAGAATACTTTTCACTTATAGTTTTATTGAGATTCCTTGCTAACTCCTCATGTATCTGTAACAAATATAACAGTTTTAGAATTTAAGTAAAACAAATCATCAGTCTAGTAAATATTTTATTATTTGGTTTGTTATTTACAAATGGGATGGCATGGTTAAAAGGTAGAGCATTTGGCTGCTAGCCTGAAAGTCTCGAGTTTGGATCCTCATCAGAGGATTGCAGTACTACTCTTAATCCACCCAGGTGTGATGGATACCTAATTCAGATTGGGGCAAATAAAGGGGGCTTTGTAAAGAGCAAAGCACACCATCCCTGTCCATTTATATGATGAGGTCAAGAAATATATATACTCTACTGTATCTCCACTATGGATAGTGAGGTCTGAAGGGGGAACTTAACTTACTATTTTTTAATAAACTAATAATTAAAGCATACAAAATTGTATTCAGGAAAGAAAATTAAATGTTTAATACAAGAATTTTTTTTATAAAAGTGGTACAATATATATCTATAATTAATATAATCTACAACAAATATTTCTGTAACTTAAAATCATAAGGAAAATACCATAGTATGTTTGAAAGCTACAGACAGTAAAAATAGCATTGACAGAGAAGAACACTTACTGCACTTTCATACATATAAGCCAACACTCCTACACAGGTTTCTAGCAGAAAAACTGCCATCAGTACAAATGAAAACTGAAATAGAAACAATATATTTTTTAATTTTATAAACATTATATTGTGTTATATTTTTAAACCTATTGAAAATGTATTTGTTAGCTCTTTTTTTAAAAAAAAATGTCTGTTACCGTAACTTACTAAAATTTTAAACCCATGAAGTTAAGAACCAAAATTTTGAAAAAAATCAAATAAATAGAAGGTTTACTGTAAGTACTTACAAAAATGAGGCAGCAGCGAACCTCCCTGACAGTTCCTATACAGCCCACACAACCCATCAACAAAATTAAACCCCCTGTGCCTATAAATATGTAGGTTGTGATTGGGAAGAGCTGATTGTTCAGCAGACTTATGTAGCCATGCCTCATAAATAAACTGCCAAGCCCAATGAGAAGGAAGGCTATGCCACTCAACTGAAACAAAATAGGCAGACTAATGAATGTAAAGCTGAAACATAAAAAAAAAAAAATCATCATTCATTATTTCTCCTCTGGGGAAAAAACTCCAGGTAAACAAGTGAAGTCATTAAAATCTCAAAAGGAGATAAATCTTTAAAATAACAACAGGACTTCTCCAGCTCAAGTACACAATTATGTAAAATATGAATTGTATTTTTTAAGGAAACAATGACTAAAGTAAGGTATTTCTGCAATACATGTCAACAGGGTCTCATCCAGCATAAAACAACAAGACTAGCACATACTTACCCAGAAGAATATGTTGAAGACGACCATAATGGATTTTAAAAAGATGCGGCTACAACAGCCTGAATCTTCACGGCGATTATGCATTCTGTAGACAGAGGAATCCAGAGTTCAATAATTATTCATAAGCTCAATCAATCTCCCTAACATACAAGCAACCAACAACTTCATAGGCATACAAATTACACCACAGACGCATCAACACACCTGAATGAAAATCTAAAAAATTTAACTTAAAATATCAAAATATAGCTATAGAACTATTTCAAAAGCTTTTTTTTTCTTAATTTTAAATTAAATGCTGTAAAGAAGTCTGACCATAAACAACAATTTAAAAAATTAAATATTGAGCCTCAAGTACAAAACTTGCCAGACATATAATTTGATGAAAAACCTTATGTGTTCTTTCCTTAGACAGCTAATATGTTTCCATAGTTACAATCAAAGAATCATTTCATAAACAATCTTTGTGTATATACTAAAGGACACCGGCCAATATGTCAGAAATCATTTCTGTTTTTAGTTACACCTTTGAAGTTGTGTATAAACATAAGGTATCTTTGTGTTCCCACAAATACATTGAGATAAACAGACCATGAGTAGAGAGGGCATTTACCTCATTGAAATGGCGAGCTACCAGTTCAACTCCTTGACCTTTGCCAGGTAGGTTTAGTCCTGGGAGTTATAGACAGGCATATGAATCTTACAGGTGCTAAGTGCCTGTCGGTAGCAGGGCAGGCTTGTTTAGATTAACGATTCCTTACAATGAAACATAGCAAACGTCAGTTTCCTTTCTGAAAGAAGAAAAAATAATCAATAGGAATGGCAGTATGTCTAAGTTAATTCACATTTCTAGGCCGAGATATGGGGTAGACACAGCGAGACAATACAGTAGGAAAATACTGGCTGTAAGCAGTCAGTATATATGGAGAACAGTTGGGACACATTGCAGATATACAACATTCAGTTTAGACCCCATTCATGTAACACAATTAAATGATACAATAAAATTTATTTTTAAAAAAAAAACGTGTAACAGAGTAAAAAAAAAAAAAAAAAAAAAAAAAAAAAAACGTAGGCCGACGCACGCTGCTTAGGCCTACGTAATTTTTTTTCCGTTTATATTATTAGGACTGCTCTAAATTATACTGACTAAATAGAACTTTTTAAATAACCGGCTGATATTTTTTTTTTTAAATTATCTAAAACAAATATGTACTTCTACGTGACTTTAAACAACTTTTCTGTACGTTACATACACAAGTCACGACCGATGTGCTGTGATATGATCCGAGTCAAGAAAAACCTACCTTAATGCTACAGTTTTTGAAACAAGAAACACCTTTAGGAATGCAGTCAACTTAGGTTTGCGTCACCCTAGGATCGGCAGTGGCCGGGTAATCTATTTTTAGTGCTGCGGTTTTCACGCTACCATTCCCATATCTTATTCAACATTAATGAGCAGAGGTGAGATACTCGATTCAGACGAGATAGAAAACACCGCGGCAGGTTTCTATAACTACCCCGCGGGTTGATTTTTTCCTGCATGCGGGCACGAGTAGGGGATGTGTACCTGGATTAGCACACAGACCTTTTTTTTATTTAACAAGGCAACCCGCATAATAAAACACAAAGCAGAAAACCCGGTGTACATTCAACACACGCCTATCGTACTCTACTTGTAACACACGCCGGTGTATGAATCATCGGGCAATATGCACTCAAATACATTTTCAACCCCCCACCATCTCTCCACCCAACTAATTGACAAAAAAAAAAATTTCGTAGTCTGAAATTAAAAAAAAAGTCTGCCAAGACAGCTGTTGAAGGAAATAGTTCACACCCCCTCCTCAATGTTAAAAAAAAACAAAACCTTAGCTGTTTGAATCTTGAATCATCGGCTTTACCTTGGTTCGTATTTGTATCGACTGAACTGACTGAGCGTATGCATACACACACATAGATATATATATATATATGCACATATGTATATATTTAAAAAAAAATCTATATAGACAGAGAGAGGGAGAGGGGAGTGTCAGATAAACAGAACAGAAACATTTCACTGAACACTCCCAATAAATCCTAAAATATGAAAGCTATTTTCTACTCACCAACGGCTGCGAGTAAAGCATGTCTCACTAACAATCCCCCTCAAAATCTCAATGGCCCAGAAACACGCTCAACAGTTGTATCAAAAACCTATTTGCCAAGACAGGAAAAAAAAATCCGGACCCCATTCACGCTCTAATGGTCTCCGTATTTCTCCACTCCCTCCCCTCTCCCGCCGCCCCCGTAGCTGAGGCACTGGAGCAGCGCAACGTATTTTTAGGGAGGGTTTATTTTACCTGTCAAGGCCGACATAAGCTGTGGTAATCCACTCAACGCCTGCCGCAGTTGACGTCAACCTCATCACATACCACACCTCGATACAACAGCGAGTAGTTGATACAGTTAATTAACATCCATCGGTAATTTTCAATCAACAAAACGCACATTAAAACAATACATCGGCAATTCCCAACTAGAAACACATTTTTTAACAGGTTATTTCCCAACAACTAAAATCTAGTACAACGCACAGGAATTTGAGGAATTATGTTTCTGTCAGTGTTTCTTCCCCACCTGAGAAAAACGTGCATTCAATTTGTTTACAAAATGTTCTCATGTCATTCTTGATGAACGACAACAGGAAATGAAAACAAAAAATACAATAACCTTTGCGTGTAAGGGAGACAAAAGATGTCATTGATATTTTTTGTAAAACATGCAATCTTCTAATCCCACCCATGTTCATCATTTATTTAAAGACATCTGACAACTTCCTCTTGATTACCACCTTAATTCTTAATTGCTTTACGCTTAATCACCCAGTACATTAACCTGGCCTAGGGATGGTAAGGAGTGTGCACATATTTAACACGAAAGTTGTTGTTAACTATTTGTTATGTCGTGTTATATTGGGTAAGGGTTCTTAAAGATTTACTCTTTTCCTATTTTTTAAACCATCTTGCTATTTGGACAGTTCGATGAAATAATTTAGTACAGCTTGCTTACTCCTTCTTACTTTTACCACAACATAACGTTTTACAATTGTTTATATACTTCTATGTGTGTGTGTGTGTGCATTTAGATATATTGCTCTATAATTTATTTAATTACACATAAACGCACATTACTTGAGATTCGGCCGACGAGCCCATCTAAAGCTAGCACGCAACTCATGTCCATATCCCCTCACGCGACATTCCCATTCAGTCTGAAGGCATCAAGACGCGTGTGCCCTATATCCGGCTCTGAGTTTCCTCCATCCCCACAGAAAGAAACTGTCCACGGGCTAGAGACGAGGACGAGCGGTGTACGTGCTAATTAAGTCATCGCCTTCCTGGCCTATCTTTGATTAGTCTATATAAACAGAGAGACGGAAGGGACAGCGAACACTGCAAATAAAAACCGATAATCCCATACATAAATGTAAGGGTGTGCTCTCGAATCGAAATATTCATGAGCGCAGATCTTCACAATATACCAGGACAATCTCAAAGAAAATTATTCTATTACAATATTATTAACTACAATTAACGTGGGGGAATTTAATTTTAAAAAATTCAGCAACAGTTACGCGATATAGATTATAATGTCAAGATTTTAAAAAAGAAACTAGCGTTGCTGGAGCGTTTTTCTTGCGTATCTTTCTTTCCCAAACCAAGTAGCTTTCTTTTTTTTTTCATTTTCGTTTTTCTCCAAACAAAATGAAGCCAGAGTTCACGCCCCTTGGTAATTACCTTTCTTGGAATGTCTAAACCGTGTTTAATGTACTCACACAGGGGGTTCAGTGGGTACACTCACAGCGTTACATTTGACAAACATGACAGGTTGAAATTTTTTCTGTCTACTAGCCTCGTCAAATGACATGCCTACATTTCTGTCAAAAGTATTTTCACACACGTGCTGAGTGAAGTTCCCACAAATAAGATACGGCTTAGATAAGAGTACAGGGTTTTGAAATGTGCAGTTAAATAGAGTTTTAAAATTTGTTGTTAAATAGGGGAAAGTAGTTCATGCTTTTGTTACGCTATTTGATGGTAGATTAACGATCAGTGGCACGCACGCATATATGGGGTCGTCATCTTAAACTACAAAAATTGTTAACGCAGTATAACATCCATTGATCAACTGCTTTCTACCGTGAAAACAAAGTATCAAACACGACAAAATCAAGGTATCTGAAAATATAAAAATATATACTTTTTCCAGTGCTCCCCCCCCCACACGCAAAAAAAAATCTTATAAAAGAAACACAGCTGTCCATGGATGCCAACAGGCAACACAAACACCACGATATATTTATGAGCAAGAACTTAGAGTCGAAACAAACGTTGAACTCTATCTTATTTTCACACCGACATAGCTTTATCCCGTCTACATCTCGCACCCAAACACCAACGTCAGAAACTACACGAGTCGCTATTCGTTACCTCAAGGCACAGTCTACGCCAATCAACATCAACCCTTATCGACACAATTGTATCGCCTATAACACCACTTTAACTCGAATATTGTTATCGGCGATTCAATTCGGAACGGCGTTACGGTGAAAAGTTTAGCGGCAGCTAGTGATTCAACCACCACTACACATTCTATGTTTAACCCGTTCATAGTAGTGAAAAGACAAGTTTGCCTACCGTCAGGGTAAATGACAAATGGAGCTAGTCCTGCACACACGGAGCAGCCTGGGCAAATAGATCGATTATTTGCCTATTCTTCTAGTTATTACTTGCACATTTTGCTAAAAGACGTTACGGAGAGTCACACGTTATACGGTTAAACTGCAACTCCCCGAATATTTCGTTATCTTGCTTTGTGTATCCCATACACAACCATTTAAATGCGACTAGTGCCGGAAGTGGCCAGCAATAAATGACTATGCAGCCAATCGGCAAGATAATCGTCCACACAGAAAGCCGTGTGAGACTACCTTGTAATACTGTAAGCGCCGGATGCATTAAATCACTCAAACCGGGACAATTTATAGCGTAGGGATGTGTTAACAAGAAATATATGTGCGAGTAAACAACAGTAATCTCTGGCGTAGGTGGTGGTATGCGTGTGTGTATGGTGTGGGGGGGGGGGGGGGGGGGGAAGGTACAAACGCCCATTCATACTATGTGTACCACTAGCACACCTGACGTAACCAAGTTGGCTCAAGTTTGTGTGGACAAGTAACTGGCAAGCAAGGCTGGAGAGACGTGTTCTTAATGTAAAGCCAGCCGTTCGGATAATAGTTCGTATTAAGGCTGGTTTCTGCTGTTCGGGTCGGGATATGGGCTAGGGATATAGTCGGGATATGGGCTAGGAATATAGTCGGGATATGGGCTAGGAATATAGTCGGGATATAGTCGGGATATGGGCTAGGTTGGGTCAAGATCGAATCCGATAAACACCAAGAGAAACACTATGACTCCGCTGACCGCGGTGTTCTCTGTGACTCTGGCACCCCTCTAGCCAGTAGACGTCAAGTCTGATGACATTTCACATACGTGACATCATCACGTGAACACGATGGTGACTACGGTTAATTATTCTAGTTAAAGCAAGAAACGGTCTGTTAATCGCTCATCGAACTAATTAATTTGTCAATCTTTTTACTGGATCTACAATTACAGAACAAAGTTCTAACCAAGTTTTTCCCACACTAAGCAATCAAAGCGAAATTCTCTGCTTCAAGTATTCACTGTCACAAACTGACTAATTGAAAGGATGTATTATTACAAGTAGAAGCAGAATTAGCTATTGACATAACATGCTTTACTACTGGTGCAACCATCCCACATTCTTTCTGATGGAAGTTGTTCTTGCCGACTGGTACAAAAATGGCTGAGGAAAAGCTGTAAGTTGAACATTTATACAGTTAGTACTACTCTCTTTACCACATCCATATTAAAAGAAGTGATGGGGCTGAGCAAAATAGTTTGAATTCCTCAATGTGGGTATGAAACAAAACAACGCACAGCTCCGGACGTCTTCCCAATTAAACTTCCAAACAACAACATAAAAACCCCATTCAGCCAGCGCATCTTTAACACTAAGTCTGGTTAATCCAACAGGCCAGCAGAAAGATTTCAGCGGCAGGAGAGAAAAAAGCCAGGAGTTGCGGGCCCCGGTGATATAAAAGACAGCAGCTGACGATGCGAGAGTTGTGTCGCCTGAGCCGAGGAAAGTGTTGGTTAATGAAGCTGTCAACTCGCCTCGAATGGACGGGGGAAGGGGAAGACGGGGAGATCAAAGCCAACCGTCTCCCCCGAAAAAATCAATGACTAAATTGGTTATCCAAATAATGGCGACAAGTCAATGTATCAACACAGCGGTGTTTGGAATACAAACTACAGTTGTATGAATATCACCAGCTCATCATAACAGTGATGGGGGGGGGGGGAAGAGAGGGAGAGAAAGGGATTTACAGAAATGGCCTGACTTATTGCTCTTCGGGATAGAGAAAGAACTCTGATGTGGCCCAAAGGGCAAATGACAAAACCTTTTCTCACAAGAAAAAAGTTTAGGATTTCTCCATCCTGTAAGGTTTCTGACACACGGGTATTTAAGGGTAATCTCGCCCAGGAAACTCTTTATTTTAGCAATCTATGCGGACAATCTAAGGCAGTGTTGTAGCAATAGATGGATAGACATTCAATTGAAAAGATTCTGTTTAAACCTTGGAGAATGGAAAAAGTATCAAGGAAAACAAAAAGAAATACGTGTAAGAAACCGAGTGTCGAAGGCACCACAATGATATACATGTGAAAAAAAATCGTGGTAACAAATCAATAAAAGCACATGTATAAGAATAATTTATTATTTACTTATTAGATAACTACTAGGCATGAACTATATCAACATATGAACAAGTTTTCAGAGTAGTAAAAAAACGACATAAATTCGTTTGGAGACAACCACTGTTTGTACTTTAAGTTTACACAACCCGCGTAGTTGTATATAGATTCTTATTCTATTTACTGGGGCACAATATATCTCGACTATAATTCAATGAACACGGAAATTCTAAAGCCTATGTCTGCTATTATCAGCACTTATAGTATACATAGTTTGTTGAATCCCGTGTCTAAGTTTATTTAAGTTTCATATACCTATTCTGTTAGAACATTGCTGTCAAAGTGTTCAGAATACATTTTAAAAATATAAACATAGGGCAAATTAAGCCTTTGGGAGGAAAAGTTACCTACTCAATAACATGTAGCGAACTCAGCTTTCCATAAACACTGTATTTAGCTAATACTAATTAAGAGTAAAAACGGCGTTACTTTAAGACTAATCTCCACCAACTTGAGCAGGACGTTATTGCTGCCAGATGGCACAGCAGTCAAAAGTAGGGACCCTGGTGTTTCGAGGTCACGTGGACTCTCCATGCTTGTACACACTTCAAGGTGAGCGCCTCGGGACGCTACCTTGCCATGACGTCTCTATGCTTTGGTTGGTGCAATACGTGACGGAAAGACCTTGACTAAATAATTGTAAACTATATCAACGCCTGTTAAGTCATGTCAGATATTATATACAGATTAAATACAGGGATATGTAACTATATACAAGTTGTATGTAATTTTCAAAGAATATGTATTTTGTAAAGTTCACGAGTTACTCATGTATAGAGGATGGCTATCAATACAACATTTCGATACAAAAATGCTTCTGTAAAACGGGTTAGAAAACGAAGTCTAAAAAAAAAGACTTTAAACACACACAAAAACAACACCTTAACGGTTCTGTTAATCACACCGAAAACCCATCAAGCCTGTACAGTTCCTACACGACCTTTCACCAGCTCCTGCCTATCTTCTAGACCCTTTTCTCACCCCTCAACTTGATGGACGGGGTGGGGCGACACATCAAGGGTGTACATGTAAGATTTAAGGGGTGGGGGCGTCTCAACCAGTTTATTTTGTGTTATGAAATCAAGTAAAAATTCGCGTACTTTTTAAAAATAAAAGATATATCAATTTTAAACGTGTTTTTCTTAATACACCACACTGCAAGAAGATTACAACAAAAAAAAAACGTATTTCATAACAACACGGTTGCTCAGAGCTAGTGCGCCATTATATAATGGGTGTAAATAAAACCCCATCAATCAAGCAGAGACTTATCGTGCTCATGTCTACAGCACCTACCAGCAGGGGTCCTTGACACAAGCCAGGGCGAGAGAAACAAAGCGGTGTAATCAGCTGAAACATCACCAGCACACAAGGCCTGACAACTCAGCCCATCCAGCAGTCGACACGCCTGATTAAAGCAAGCTTTCGATTCACCGCCTCAGTGGGTGTGGCGACCAAAGAAATAAGCGTGAAAAAAAAAATCACGGTTCCATTGACAAAACGCAGTCCGTCTCAATCAATCCTACAGACACGTATCCAGAAGCATGGAAGAAAAAAATCCTCCCAGTCGGGGGTGGAGTGATCTCTCAGCGCGCTCTTCTGCTGGCCAAGTCAACTCAAGTAAACATTTGCCTATGTTGACATAGCGTTGCGCATGGCTGGAGCTCGGAGATTCAGGCTCAATCGTTGGCAGAGTGATGTCATCAAGTTGTGGGTGGGATCCTTGAAGAGAAACTCGACACAATTTGTTCGACTCTCGAGTGTATTACTGTAGCCTCGGACAAGGAGCAGCTCTACACCCACGGGTTTTGGAAGCGACACAAGCACACGGTAGATGTTAATGTTAGGATAAAAATATGAAACACAAACGTGGATTATTACAATATCACATAAACAGTAGGACAGAACTATTTTAAAATTAAGATAAACAACTAACATGCTTAAAAGCGGCACAATTTGTCACACGCACAAACACATAGTTACTAATATCGCAGACAAAGATACTTTAACCCCCTGGATTATTATATGGTCCTCAATTGTTACATTCCAGTCAGAAAACGGAGAAGTAGTACGAAACTTTGTGGTTTTGTTAATGGACCTGTAGCCCGTGCTGAAAGTCTTGCAACAAGACAACGAGCTAAAATTAACAAACTACTGAGCGAAACTCTAGCAATAAACAATTGAATAAAACAACAGCCCGTATTTTGAACAGAGCGGGATGCTAGCATATACCGACAGATACTCAACAATTAGCCCACAGGCACGTCAAGACAAGGTCTTCACGGCTCACTAGATGTATCGTCTCAAGAAATTGCTCGCAGATAAACATCGTGTCGCAATTACCAGAAATTCTGGCAGCAATAACGGCATATTTAATGCACGTGTATCAACCGATCGAGCCATGACGCGGAGCAATACATCAGACGCACTACGCTATAGCAAAAGTAAATTACTTGAACATGGCAAAAAATGTATTCCATGCACCGTGGTTCGCAGGGGAATATAAACTATAAAAACACATAAATCATCAAGTGTTGTAGAAATACATACATAATCTGGTACTGATTATGCGGGAAATAAAAACATTCATTATCTGGTAATGATTGGTTGAGGAATAAAAACACATACCATGTCTATTACTGATCACATAAAATACACACATACATCCATTAGTACAGGTCACGTGACCATGTACATAATCTTGGACCAAAATCTTGACCGCAACGGTCCACTGGTTCAACAAGCCACAACACACAGTCAGCAAGAAAAATAAAACTTAGTTTACGATCAGCCAGGTCCTCGCTTGACAGCAGGTCCTCTAAAGCTTCCACCCCTATCCCGCCAAACACGCACCCCCCATACCAGACCTATTAGATTACTGGGTGTTTTTTTTTCCTTCAATTTTTTAAATAGAGGATGAGATAAGATCAGACATGTGCGATGGTAAAATTCTTTCTGTACTCACCATCGCAGCCGACAATGCC